TACATAATATGTACATATGTATTAAGCATATGTATGTGTTATACAGTAGCATGTACATAACATATGTTTAGTTTAAAATAACGCTTTGAAACAATTACATTAACGTTATATAATCGTTTTAATTAATTATAAATTATATCATCACGTTATTAATAATGATTTATTATTAGAAATGACTGTAATTAATTGTTAATTATTAATTATGCATTGCAGATCTACGGTTGCCTATTGACATTTGTTTTTCTCATCTTTATTATACTGATAAATTTCGTTGGAGGATTGCTAAAATAGACAATTAATGCATTTGTCCTCACACCCTGCCCGATAACATAATCAATTACGAAGAAATCATGAAAAATAAATTTATGAAAATCATGAAAAATAAATTACAGCTGTTAGTCACTTTTAAAAATCTACCACGTTGCTAAATCAATCATTTTTCTTTCAAGAAAATAGATCTGCCATCTTCGTAAGTTTTTCTTCCTTACCGCAAATAAATTATTGACAATGATTAATCTGATCGTAGACTCGGCCGTCGGTGTCCGGTAAACACGTGATGATCGATAAGCGTACGCGATTTACTCGGTAACTGATAACTGCCGGTGCGGAGCCAGCGAAAAGAGGATGACGTAACGCTTCAAAAAGGGTTAAACGTCGCGGCGACATTATATAGCTGGCATTAATTAACCAGGCATGCCGAGGACTTATTTTGTTAATGAAACGGTAGCTTGATTAAGATGCAAACGAGGACGCTTCTCACGTATACGTGCACGTAGCCACCGCGTGTCGGCTCGGGCCTCGCCTCGTTTTAGCCGCTCCCCCCCCCTTCCTCCTTTCACCCCCTCCGATTGTGAGTCCATAAATCTCAATCCGTAAACTCAAACACCGGCGGAATTGCAAATCGTAAGTAACAAACTGCGGCGCAAAGACTCGCGGCATCACAACGGAGGACGGGCGGACGGATAGCCTCCCTCGCTCTTTGAAGCGGAGCGAACGGGAGATCGGTAAGGCATCTCGCCTCGCCACCGCGCCACCGCCGTCATTCCCTCGCGCCTTCGTCAATATTAGGTTTCCCCGTGATTACGTAATAAAGTAAACGTCGTTTTAACCCCTTTAGTCGGCGCGCTATCGACCGCCGCTCGAATTAGTTCGGTGCAAGTCATGTAAATTAGTCGGGAGCCGTAACTCAGGGGGTGGAAATTGGGGAAAGTGGTAGCGGCGGCGGCAACGGCAATGTCGGGTGGGGGGGGAGGCGGCCTTATTGCCGGTGGCGACGGTTTAGAATGCCTGAAATATTACGCCGGCAATCGGGCTGTCTAGGCGCGATGGCGGCGGCTACGGCGGCGACGGTCGCGGTGTGATTAAGCGAATTTCTTTCTCGCAAAATGAAGGTGTTTTCGAAGTGACCGGGCTGACCGAAGTAGGAACGGTCGCCACATATTTTCAATTGAATTATTCACACGAGCGAATCACAGAACACTAATTTTATATTAGCCAAAAAATATGTGATTTAAATGCTTATTTAATTATAATTTTGGAACACATCCTCTATTCGTCTAGATTCTCTGTCGTTTTCAAAACAAAAAAGATAAAAGATAAAAGCCAAATACGATATTTTATGTGCTGAATACAAGCTTGTGCTACCTATACTTCACTTATGATAAAAATCACTATTCAATTGAATCGAGGAGTTCGGAAACCCCATTTATTCGATAAGCCAGACTCTTCAGGACGGAAAAAGATATTGTTGTGCGGGGCTGCTGTTTGAACTGGAATATTTGTGCGCTTGGTATATAGCTCCACGCGAGCTATCGAAGCTTGTGGTTTCTATCTTCAACGAGTCTACGATAAGAATACGATAGTCCACACTGTAAAAAAATTTTGTAAAATTACAACTATTATAGTGGGTAATTTTGAGACCCACTAGTAGTTGTAATTATACAATATAATGGTTGTAATTTTACAACATTACAGTACGGAAGGAAAAAGTAATTTTGTATTACAATTACACAAATTAAAAATGTGTGGAAATTTACACCTATTATAGTGGGTCTCAAAATTACATGTAATTTTACACAATTTTTTTACAGTGCATGTAATTCAATTTCGCGAGAAATGGGATATATTTCGCTTCTAATATTTTCCAAATTTAATTTGACTCGTTTTTACACGAAGTGTCAGAAACATTATTCCGTTTGTCAAAAGTTTTTTTTCTTTCAGTATCTGCAATTTTTCAATTCAGTATATAAATGTAAATATTGAGCGCACTGTGTGAGAAAGTACAATAATTCTCGAAAAGCCGCGATAAGATACCTGCTTTTCCCAAAATAGCAATAAAATCCTTTTATTCCAAAATGCGCGCGCGCTTTATCCGTCAATAAATTCACGATAAAGCTGAAATTACGAGCGATTGAGGTATATGAAGCGTATGCACGCGGCATAATTCTGTAATCGATCTTGAATTATTGAGTGGAAGTAAAACTGCAGGGCGGAATAATATCGGCCTTGCAGGATTTGCACGGTGGGCAGGAAGATAGAAATCGGCTTTAATTAATTTCATTATGCGCTTCCTCGCCGGATGGCCGGAACCTATGTCGGGATGAAGGGGGGGGGCGGATGATGGTTTGAGGAAGCGGGGCAAAAATGCAACACCACTCTTTTTAATTAATAAATGTCATTTATGAGGCGCACACCCGTCCGTTACTCCGATTGATGCTATTCAAGACCGACAAGTTTTCGCTCAGCGTCTCCCGCTCTCTGGTGTTCGACGCGTCACGCGTCGGAATACGCCGTTCTCGCGAATAATTACCGCGCGATCCGCAAATGGACGTGCGAAAATTACTTTAAAAGAACGACGAAGATAGATCGTTTCCGTACGGATATTTTCGGTCCATACAGCTTGTGACGCTTATCGCCGCCCGTATCACGCCGTAAATCAAGGAACTTCCATAATGTATGGTCCTATAAATACAATAGCCAAAGCCTTCGGACGGCTGTACGCAGCAGCGTTTACCATTACCGATTTGCCCGACCGGCCGGGGGCTTCCAGTATCCACAAAACCATCGTTCGCGGTCATTTTGCCGCCGTTATCGACAATCGCCTTACTCGCGCCTCTATAAATTCTCAGTCACATCGCGTGCAACGTACGGGTATAGTCGAGGGCAACGCAACGGATCCGCAATTTCCCCCCGGGTTCAACGCACTCCGGATGAAAATCTTTATCCGCGCGGCTACTGGAAAATTCAGAGGACACGCGAATAATGGTATACGTGTGACATAACTTCACAAGTGTCAAATACATGTTTGTCAAACTCGACTGTCCAATAATATAGAAGATAATATCTATTCAACATTATATCTATCCCAGAGAATAATCGTAATTTCTCTTGAAATGTTTTGGAATTGATTTTTGAAATACATTTGCATATGTCAATCTCATTTTATTAATATCTATAATAATATCTATTCAACATTTATATCTGCCTCGGAATAATCGTAATTTCTCTTAAACTGCTTTAGAATTGATTTTTGAGCTACATTAGCATATATATCAATTTTATTTCATTAATGTATTATATTAAAATTATACTAAAATTATCGTGACTTTAAAGCATATAAAACAAAAAAAGAATAGCCGAGATATAATGATTAATTCTAATATCAGAGAATAGGTATATAAAGTGTAACTATTCAGTATTGGCAAGAAGTCGATATTTCGATAGTATATATAACTTCGGCGTTCTATATATAGAGCAGCGGCGACAATTTTCCGAATAACTTCAATTCCTCGTGCGCGAGCCGAAGTGCGCGCCGATGATGTATCGCTTTATAACAAAGAGGATTTATCAACGTCAATTTGGCGTGCAGGAAGGTACGCGTCTTGCGGCCAGCGACCCGCTATAACGAAGAAACGAGCGGCGCGGCGGTAGAGGGCAGCCGGGCGGTTAATTTTACTCGCGCCGTTATCGCGGGGACGTTAGAAGAATGAGTGGGGTTAATTAATTGCGGACCTTTTTTAATTTGTCTTGCTAGGCGCCGGGATTACCGCGAAATTTTTAAACCGATACATCCAGTCGAGAAGCGGAAACGGTAAATTGGAGACACTTTGTTGAAATGCGAAAAGGAGGTTTGGGAGAAATTTATTTAACTCGGAAAAAGTCTGCGATGATAAAGAAACGTGGTGATAAAACGTGTAAAAAAACTCATCTTGGGTAAGAAAAAACTTATATGCTATTGTCGAGATTGTCGATTATTTTATTCGGCTTTATACATTTTTGTACATCAACTTATATGGTGACTTACGAGTGTTACGAAGAGTTTACGTTTACGGAAAAGATCTGCAAACGCTCATTGCTAAGTCGCCTTGAAGAAACACTTGAATCGTCCTGAAAAAGAGCGCAAGATGGGACGCAAGATTAATTATCCTCGCTCTAAATTAAGTTATTCACTTTGTTATGGTACCTGAGCTATCGCACGGCAAGATACATAGCGCGTGATAAAGTAGTAAGAGAGCGGAAAAGAGAGAGCGCGCGTGAGCGGTAGGATTAATGAGGAGAAGGGAGAGTTTATGATCCTACGCTTAAAATTCGTCATACCGCGGCTACGCGACTGCAGAGAGGTATATAGGTGCACCTGGAAGAGACTTTCCAATTCGGCACGTATGCCGAATATTTTCTGCCTAAAATTTATTAATTTTGTCCGTTTTAATTTAGCTTTAGGAACCATTTCTGTACAGCTGAAATTTATAACTGTGATACTTGACATTTTTCCGTTTGACTTGGAACGTTCAACGTAACAAATAAAAGTGACCTCGACATTTTACATCATTATCACTTAGGTTATATGAAAACCATGCTAATACAAGTTGATGAATTTATACAAAATAAAAATTCCTTTTATGCAAATTTTGTGAAATGTTTTAATATTTTTTTGCAAGCATTTTGTCAAAGGATAGAAAAAGGTCAGGCATTGTTTAACCAGTGAATTGTATAATTTTCAGTCAGCCCGTTGGAAGTGAAAATAATTGACGGAAACCGACCGCTGTCAGCGGGCAAGAAGTACGACTTGGTCTGCACAACTTCCGGTTCCAGGCCGCCGGCCAGCGTTACCTGGTGGAGGAACGGTCAGCGTTTAGTGGATTCCAAGGAGACCGTAAGTGTGTTCCTTGACGGAACAATTTTCGTTCCTGCGCAAACGTACATTCCGCCCAGCTACTCTCGGCAGCGCATAAACTCGAATTTACAATCTTAGATATAAGAGAGAATCCCTTGATCTCTTTATCAGGAATATTATATTAATGCATATTCATGTGTGGATAGCTAATTCTTTCAAATAAGAGAAATGGAAAACGTACTATTTCTTTAAAAAATATACTATGAGACCATTTGATTATTTCTTATAGCAACGCGTTACTTTCCTGATTATTCTATTATTTTAAATGTGAACGTGAACAAATGTTGTAATAACTAAGTTAAATTGTCCGCATGAATGCCAAGTTAAGCTACTTTATCGTCTGTGGTCTCTAATACATTAAAAACGCATCTGTCACCGCTAGAAAGTTTTCTCCTATGCGTGTCTAAACTTTCGGAATTTTTCTCACATATTTACTATGTTTTCGCCACACTGTAGAAGATATCACGAAAGTTTTAGACAGTCTTTTTCCTTTATTTAATTTATATTTAAAAATTGAAGAAAAGAATCGGAAAGTACGAGAGAAACGCGTAATTACATCTCAGACAGAAATGATTAGTCGATTTAACGTCGACACGATGAAAGGCCGATGTCGAATATCAGGTTTATATTTTTTGTCATCTTCGACCTCATTATATTATAGTTATCTTTATGTTAATTGAGCGGTTACCAATATTTTTATAAGATTTCTATTGTCTTCCAGTCAATTTTACATCGAATCGATGTAAAATTGAAAACACAGTATATAAATAAGCACTGTATTCGATGTAGTGATTGTAATGAATTGGCCAAAACATGCACAGTAGAAGATGAATAACAGAAATATTCGCAATTGCTCAATTAACATAATAACAATTATGATAAGAACAAAAATAACAAAAATATTAATCAGTATTCAACAGTATATTCGCGATCATTCATCGATGTGAAATCGACATTGATTCGACAGATCATTTCTAGACGGGATCTTTTCCAATTAAAATTTTTGGTCGCATTGTTCATTCACAATAGTTTCGAACTATTCAATTCGGTCCATTGACAATAGTTAAATATCGGATTGATCTCTATATTAACGAAAGATGATTAATCTACCGCTGCGCGTCGATTCATCTGGTTGACATGTGTCCTCCTAATTTCGCGGCGAAGCTGCAATTTCCACGTTCAATCTCCGCGGATTAAGCGACGCTATAAAAAAAGACATAGGCCGATTACGTGATTGACTGCCGTTTACAGTGAAGTGTGCCCGACAGGGATTATGTCTAATTGACGGGAAATAAAACTATCTTCGAACTACCTGGTCGAGACATATTTCTGGTGAACGTCACGTTGAGATAAAAGAGAGCGCGACGCGCAAATGATTTAATGAAATTAAACATTAACGAGATAACTCTCAACGTATTATCCGCTTACAGCTGTAAGCAAAACTGTGATAGCTGATTTTTCTCGTATATTAATCTCCTACTTTTGTTTTCATTTTGTTTGTTCTTTCTTTTGTCGAAGATTTCTCGAAGAATATTTTTTAACGAAATTAAATATTATTCCAGACGTGAAACTGGGATAAATAACACGTTAGTTAATAATTAGAATCAACTTATATTCATTTTCTAGAAAGAAAAAAAATATTGAGACAGTACGCCGGCAATGTTGTAAAACTATTATTTGTTTGAATTTGTTTTAACAGTTCAAATGTTTTGTTCACAAAGTACGAAATTCCCTCTATATAAATCTTGCGTCGATTCACCGTGAAATTGAAAATAAAATGAAAAAAGCTAGGGACTGTTTTATAACGATGTTACACTGTCGAGTCATATACTGCGTTCCGATAAAAAAGCATAACGTTTCATCGTTACGGGATTAATCAACGATAATAATGAAGAAGTACATCGCGAATATCGATAAATCTAATTACGGTGCAGCTCGAATAAAGAATATCTCGCCGGGGCGATTACGATGATACTTGATCTACGAGTACGGAATCCTCTCGCGCGTGCATACTTGCTCTCTCTTTCTCTCCCTTTCGTTCCGATACAATTCATTAATTCATTCAATTTCATTCCGAACGCGCGGAAATAAATTTCGATTTAACGTAAATCGAACGCTCTAACCGGGTCGCGGCGTTTCTGTCGCGAGAAACGGATGAAGGTATTTCGTATACAGAGCAAACAAACGTCAATGGAAACGCGGATTAGCGAACGAAATGAAAGAATGTACTTTCGAATAAATTGACCCGTTGTCGGGCGAAATCGAGCATCGGTCGCTGTTTATTCTACTTCGATTTCCCCGCGCGCCAAACCCCCGATAAAACACACCGCGCATGCTGGGTGGGTGCGCGCGCGAGGAAATGCGGCGCACACGAACGACGACGCGCAAACAACGCGACGCGCGTCGTATCCGCCGCGTTTTGATCCGCACTTAAGACGACGACGTAAATATTTGCCGGGGTAACGGCGGATTAAGGGCGACGACGAGGGGCGAAGAACTTCCGCGCGAGCCGTGCGCGGGGAAAGAGAAAATATTGTTTCAAAGTCGATACTCGCGCTGCTGGGCGACGCGACACTGGAGATTGTTTCGCTGCTTACGCAAGAAAGTTAAACACGGAAACGGCGACGCGGCGTGGCGGGCCGAAGGGGAGGAAAATAGGACGGCGAGAGAAACCGGTGTGTAATCCACGGTGGAATGTCGACCGAGTACCGAGGAGAGAGAGGCCCGTTCCTCTTCTTACTTTTCCCGTAATCACGCAGCTCCCCGCTCCGTCCCGCACGCGGCGATTACGCGACCGCGCGCGCAAAAATAGCGCTACCGTACCGGAGCGGGATACAAACAACACCCTCGTAAACGAGGGGTTTTCGCGCCGCGCGCAAGTATTTTTCCCCGCGTATCGTATCGTGGAATTGCAGCAATTATGTTAATCGATTCGACCTCCCCGCGGGATGCGCGGCCGGAAATATATTTTTAATGGATGGCGCATCTCATTTTGTAATTATCTTTGCGCGGGCCACCGCGTGAAACGGCGCGCAGCTCTCCGCCGCCATCGGAACGAAATTAGAGCGCGAGTCCCCTGCCGTTGATTTATTCCCCCGGCAAGACGCGAAATTTATTATTCGCGCGCGCGCTCTCTCTTTCTCTCTCTCTCTGCGATTATTTTTTAATCGCGCGACAGAATCGCGGGGGATACCCCTTTATCTCATTACGAACATTCATCCCACTCCCTCACGCGAGATTGAAGGCTCGGTTATGTGTCCACTTTTTTTCCAACGCGATGGCAAAGTTGAAAAACCGCGCACGGAATATTTTGAGATTTTATGAAATATTTTGCGTGATATTTCGTTCAGAGATATGAGTAATGTGGACGATGCATTTTTCTGACTACCCCGCGCTATAATTCCCGTTTTATGCGAAGAGCGTAATCCCTAAACTCGGTTCATTGGGCTGAGCGAGCGTTTGCCCGAGCACGAATGTTTAATTCACGAAACGTAAAGCAGAGTTATTACGGGGCGCTTCATAATCCATGAACTTGATTTTTCATAAGCTGCGAAACTTTTAAATAGCATAAAATTGTGAATTACGCTTGATTTCGGTATGACGGTAACGATATGTTGGTAAAAATATAAAATATGAGAGGTGCGGAAATAAAGCTTTTGAATTTTTCGTGATTTACGGCAAAGTTTAAAAAAATCTTGGTCACGGTGTCAGTCTAAATTATCTGGATTTTTTTATTAAATATATTCTATACAATTAATTTATCGACATGTTAAATTAGCAAAGAGCAATATATATTTTGCTACATAATTTTATCTGGAAATAATAGCCGTTCAACAAAATAGTTTTCACTATTAAAAAAGGTAATAGAAGAAAAATATAAATTTCGCATTTTTCCCCCTTTGTAAGAACTCTGTGCGTAAAATGTGGGTATAAAAGATGAGAAAGTTTTAGGCAAACACATGTTAGATGAAAAACAAAGGGAAATCAGAGCGGGGTGTGCAAGAGCGATAAATTGTATCGCAGAACAAAAGTTGATTTTTTCAAGATTAATTCCTAGTTTTCGTGATATATTGACTACGCCTTTGATACCCGGAACTACTTAAAAAAACATTTGCTCGGACAACAAAGAGCAAACAATTCTCATGAATGTTTCGACGTCGTACATTGATCGATTGTTATAAAACTGAAACACACGTTCACCCTCATGTTTTGCTCGGTTTGTTCTCCAATCAAAATTGATGGGGAAAAAAAAGTTCGCTTTCCGTCATTAATACGCGTTATTTAATCGTTTCCGGCACTGCTGTCAAACGACGGGTCACTATTTACGGAACGTTAAACGTTAAACAAATAACTCATTTACGAAAAAGGCGGCTTTGCCAGGTTTTCATCCACTTTCACGTGTGTGCTCGCAAATCCCTCCGATTGTACGGATAGTAAGAGATAAATTTCGGCGATCGTATATCGACACGAGGGAGAGCGGTTAACCGGCCACTCGACGTACCGTACCGGGCGTATCCATTAAGGCATCGATTCGCCTTAATTACAAGCGCGAATTCGCGGAATCACCCCGCGACGCTCTGATTTAAATTATTCGACGCCTAACGACCCTTTTACCAGGGGCTCGTAACCGTGGTAACAATAATTCTCGCGCCACCCTCGCAATGAGACACACTTGCGCGCGGCCGTATTACCGCCGGGATACACGTGCGCAAGAGAGAACCTTATTTTATGGTCACTATAAGGAGCTGTACGAGCCGTGGTCGAGCTTGCAAATTACATTGAGTGCGCGGTCCGACGTGTAAATCGAATCGGAAGTCCTTCTCGGGCGCGCGGCTTTCCACGTAGATGCACGTCTGATTATTCTTAAGTGTCTACTACTTGAATGAGTTTCGTAAAACGAATCGTCTATTAACGATTTTTAATCGAACGTGATTATATCTGTAAATATCATAAATATTCTTTGCCTATTATTTAAAAAAAATCCTCGTTCTTTCTTTAAGAATAAAATAAAATTTGAAAAAAGTTAAATAATATAGCTCTTATAGAATATATAATGCGCTTCGTATTAAGTAATTACTTGACGGAAAATTAGAAACCTTATTAAAAGAAAATTAGAATTTGCTTGGTGAACGAGCTGTAAATATATATTTTTTTAAAAATGATTTCTTAGTAATAAAATTGAGAGATAAAGCGATACAAAATTATATTACCGATACACATCATCATCCGTTGCTACTTTAGAAGTTTCATCATGCGTAAGATAAAGTTTCTTAGCCACTGACAGATGCGTTTTTAATATATTAGATAAAAGAGACAGCCAAGTGTGTGTGATATAAACAACCTAAAATAAGAAAGCGTGGGATCGCTTATTTCACGCTTGAGCACTTCTTCACGTACCTAAGTCGCGGAAATTAATCAGGCACACACGTATATTGAATAATTCAATGAAACTTTGTAATGACGGTTCGGGGCCCCTCAATAAAATAAAGGCTTACTTCTTTATTGTTAGAAAATAGACCGATCCCCTCGGGGAGGGTAACGAGAGATTGATCGGGAATTTCGACTATAGCTAGCGCCGACCCTCCAGGTCGGGTGATAGATTCGCTTTTAATATACGGGGGCGCTGAAACGTCGGCGCCGTCGGTGACAGCGCGCGGGTGGGTAGGCGAACGATCGTTTCGATGAGGAAAAAGAGAATAAATGTGACGAGTTGTCGGCGGGGGTGGACGGCGGGGAACCGGTGAACGTTATCATAATGTTGTTACAGACCTCCGCCGATGGGAACACGACCACCAGCGTTTTATCTTTCATGGCGACGAAAGCAGACGCAGGCAGACACTTGTCGTGTCAAGCTGAAAATCGAATCATGGGAACCGCGCCGATAGAGGACGGCTGGGTACTCCAGATACAATGTAAGCTCATAAACGGCGACGGCCCCGAATCCGGCTGCGTTGCGTTCCCTTCCTGCCTGGGGCGCGCGCCCGACGCTCTCTTTCCTTATTTATTCAGACGCCGGGAATCCGGTCGATTTTGACGGTTTATCGAAGGTCGTGATTCGCAGACACGCCGGAGACGCAGATCCAGCTCGGCACGTCGCTGAATCCGAACACCATACGCGAGGGCACGGATGTCTACTTCGACTGTCTCATACAGGCCGAGCCGACGGTGTACAAGGTGGAATGGCGGCATCAGGTGAGCGAGAGCTCACAGATCTTATTCAGGATAAAACCATGAACGTTGTTTTACAACGATTTCTCAACGACGAGAATTCCCGAATTTCATGCGTTCACGGATATTCAATAATTTATCAAATCATTACAAACCCAATTATATTGAAACAAAACATGACAAATTACAGGCAAGTAAATTGCACGATAAAAAAACAAGTTGATTCTCTCTCAGATATTTTCAAGAAATAAATTTTACAGAGAGCATCGGCAGCGTAAAACTTGAAATTACAAAAAAATTATTCAGCGAGATGTATTTAGAAGTTCTAGCCTTGATGAATCAACTTTACGTTAACAGTCCAATTACCGCATCTACAGCATTCGCGCGCGAAGTAGAATTTATCATAATTACACCGGGGTTTCTCGGTACATCGAAAAATATTTTCCAGAGAAGATTTTCTGGAAGAAAAAAAAATCCAGGATATTTTTTCCGTGGACCGTTCCCCGGGAATATTATCTCGCGAAAATTCCCCCGTTCCTCTCGCGCTGCGTATCATTAATCAATCTCGCAAGATGCGTAACAATGTTCTTCACGAGTAATTCGTCCGTATCCCTCGCGCTCGGAAAGTTCTAAAACCCCGGGTGTCGTAAACAGATTGGTCTCTCGCCGGCTAACAAGCTCGATTATGCCTGTGCTCACTCGCGCACCACGCGAGAGCATCGACTTACGTTAAGACCAAATACAAACTTCGCCGCTCGAAGCATCAAACTTTTATAATAACTTCCCGTCACCCCTGCAACGCGATGAAGCACCCGCTCTCTCGCCTCTGACGAGTGAGATTGTGTAGCTGCGATTCATTTACGTTCGTGTGTGTATCTACACACACTCACACACACACATACGTGGAAAAATAATCCTCGTGCCCAGCATAGCATAGGAGGTTCAATCCAACGACGAGAGGCGCCAATTACCGTGTTTCTTTCAGGGCAGGGCACTCCATCACAACATCACGCAGGGTATCATAATCAGCAACCAGAGCCTGGTGTTGCAGGGAGTTGATCGCAAAAGCGCCGGCAATTACACGTGCGTGGGATACAACACCGAGGGTGATGGCGAGAGCTCGCCCTTTTATCTGAACGTGATGTGTACGTTTTTATTCTTACATCCGCAGCACACTAGTAGTAGAATACTGAACAGGACCAGAACATCTCACATAGCGAAGAAGGATTTATTTGTGCGCATCAGAGCGTATAAATTTAGAATTCTTTCAGGCCTGATTTATTATTTAATAATTTTTCTTCTGAATCAATCCATGCCGCAATGCTTTCGGTAATTAAACGAAATGAAACATTATTCACAGGTATTTCAATATATAGTTAATGCCTATTGCTTTTAGTTTGTTATTCGGATTATTACAGTCCTAAGTACAGTGCTAAATCCTCTCGATGCAGCTAAGTAATAATTTGGCTTATTTATCATATTTCAACGTATAATGAAACACATAGATGTTAATGCTTATCGATTTTAATCTGTTACTTGGATTATTAGAGTTCTAAATACAATACTAAGCCCTGTCGATGCAGCAAATGATAGTTTATTCATCGCGGTAAGAATACGAATGGTAACGAGACGACGCGACGGTACGAAGACCGTAACGAAACCATATATTCGTTCGATCGGCTTTAATTAATAAATGGATTATAATGAGCCAAGATTCGGTACTGCCATAAATTCCCACTGTAAAATTTTAATTCCTGGCTTATACACGTATATATTTATACGTCCCTCGCGAATTGCGTGCACAATATTATCAGGACACCCAGCTGTTTATCCGTTTGCGCGCAGATTATCAGACGCGATATCGAAATATTTCGCATCGCAATAGTTTTGTTAATCAATATTTGAATTTATTCGAAAGACCCGAGTCAGCTATGAAACGCAAAGCGTATTACCGTGAAGCTCGTGCATATTTAATATAGAAATCCACAGTTAAAAATTACAGTAAGCGTATTATTAATGGTAAAATACTGTGGCCCAGGTATAAAAGAAAATAATAATAGAATGAAGCGGATTTGGAAAATGTCTAATTTAATTAATTATAAAATTATGTTTAATGCCGAAAATTAAACTGTCCGAACAATTATTTAAAAAGGTAACGTTGAAATAGATTTTAAGGTGAATTTTTAAGTTCTGATTTTACTTTAGCTATTTTATTATTATTGTAGATCATTTAGCATTAAAATTAAACTTTATTCACTTAAATAGACGACAGAGACTTTTCACATCTAAAAAATTTACAAGTGTGATTCAAAAATACAATTTGTGGCTGAATCATTGAGATAGGAAGAAGCCAAAAACTTTAAAATATTGCTTCTAGAAAACAAGAAATATTTAACCTAAAGAAAGCTTTCAATAATAATTGGAACTAAAATAACGAGGATACTTGTGCCATTGAAACTAAAATAACAGAATATTTGTCCTGTTTATGACTAATCAAATTATTATTAATAGATCTTTACGAGAGATTTGAAATAGATCGCGAAATATCGGTAAATCATTTCTCGCGCATTTAATGATGGCATGAGAAATTGACATGTCACACAAGACGAAGATATCCTGTCCTCGCGCTCCAATTACTTATCGACACCGTTCGACTTTTGTGCCCCGCAGTCGCCCCTACGTGCAAGCCGAACCAGACGAAGGTCCACGGCGTGGCGAAACAGGAGAAGGCGAATATATCCTGCCAAGTGGATGCAAATCCGCCGGAAGTGCAATTCAAGTGGACCTTCAATAACTCCGCCGAGAGTATCGACGTTGCGGCCGGCCATATCGCGCGGGCTGGCACATCCTCCATCGTCTCATACACCCCAATGACGGAATTAGATTACGGCACGTTACTCTGCTGGGCTAGCAATCACATCGGGCAACAACAAGTGCCCTGTGTATATCACATTATACCGGCGGGTAAGAGATCCTCTTGCATTTGTATCTGTACTCGCGATATTTCGCGAAAATGCTAGGCGACGTTGGCTTCTCGTTGGCAGCGTGAATTTTCGATCTAGATGACTGATCATCGCGACGAGTTTGCGTGACGTGACGTAACAAAATTATTATGCAAAGTACAAAGAAATTTAAAAAAAAAATCGATACGTAATATTTCTCGCACTAACTCAATTGAATCCTTCTTTAATTTATGATTGCCCTTGGCGAGAGCTAGAATGAATAGATATAGGAAATGGAAAGAAATTTCTTTTCAGAGGGAAGAATAGAGCCAGCGATGATAATTTCAAGAGCCTCTTCCTACACTTCGCGTATTAAAAATTTATGCTTGTTCAAAATGAATTTCCATCCGCCTGCATCTAGTTCGCCTGAAAATTTTGTAAATTGGTAAAATTAACAATAAAGCTAGTGGTTTTCACCCGTGGGACTTGAATCTTTCGGGAATTGCAACTTTATGCTAATTTAGGATTCAGATTTTGTTCCTAGTTTCCAAAGTCTCACATTTACGTAATTGAATAACTAATTCGAATCTTAGTACGAAATTGGAAAGACGCGGTGTGTGTGCCGTTTTAATAAAATCATTCAATTACGTTGAAACTTTGAAGGCTTGTCGTAATTAGTCCCAATTGGTATTGTTACCAATAATAACAACATGAATACGTGATAATGAAGTCGCGGTTTATTTCCAAATATCAAAAGTCTTTGAAATGTAGATAAAAACCTAAGGAATACTGTTATTATACATTGTATAGTTCTCTTCCTTTACATTCGCGGTAGCACAAAAAGGATCTCTCTTTTATTTGTTAAACAAATCATTACGATGAACAAACCTGATACTGTTGCTTTTTATTCAAATTCTTAAAAAACCTTATATAAGCCGAGTGAATTCATTTGTAGCATTGGCATCCTTGTTATTCCCATGTCCGTGTTTCCGCCGCGTATCGATGCTCGAGTTACCAATTAATTGCGATTCGCGAATCATGCTATCGAATTGCTCTACAAAGAAAACGCGCGTACGCGTATACAAGGTTGCGCACATTCCGGGTAAAAAAAGAAAACAGAGCTCTCGCCTGCTCTCGCCTCTCTCGTACGGCCGCAAAAAAAAAGCGAATCCGACGTCGGGCGAGTAAAAAGGGGACATCGCGAGAAAGAGAGAGAGAGATGGTAGCAGGTGTCCGGTGCGCTATGATTTTTCAGTAACCATAAACGCGAGAACAACTCAGCATATTCCCGCTTATTTCCTTTTCTTTATCTCCCTCACCCTCGCGTCCCTCCGCCAACGCAATCTGCCGTTATCGTTTCGTTTGCGCCCTTTTAGCCGGCTTTTACGAGCCGCGAAGTGTACCGTCGACTAATGCCTTTACGGAAAAAAGCCAGACAGCCGTATATACAAACACATATATATATATCTTTACAGCCGACTCGGTTACAAGTGGCTTGTATGCGCCAACTCACCGTGCACCGGATTTACAGGGCAACTATCACGCCCTGATTCGCGAATCTACCGCACGCGAGACGATATGTTGCATAACGCCTTCCCCTTTCGCGCCGTCTGTATGAGACTATACATCATTTCGGCGCGAGAGAAAGAACTGGGCATTGAAAGTTGGAGTAAACTGCAGAAACTGCTGACGCTGAAGAGTTATCGCTCTACTTATGTAATTAGTTTCGCTTAAAATTCAGCGCACTTTAATATAGCGTAAAAAGTAGAAATAAACAAACTTCGGGAACTACGGAGAAGTTATTGCGCAATTTTTTTCTGCATTTTGTATTTTTTTTTTCATTTATATAATTTTTCGACTCTGACCGGTACTTATGGGGCTTCCGAGTTCCATGGTTTGAGAAAGAGAGAGGAAAAAAGAGTTATTCTATTTTTCTAAACTATCGAAGAACGTAGCTTTCATATTGATTAACCAGTTTTAATAGAAGACGACGAGCCAATTTTTTGCGAAATATAGAATTGAAGAGTGGACGGAAAAAATTGCTATACCTTTTTGATTTAATCTGAACGCAAAATTGTTTATAATCTTAAGAGGCTTTTTCCTATTGCTGGTATGCGAAATGAAAATATTTCGGTGTTATATCATCGTTAATTCATTTATTCCTACAATTCGCCTGGCCAATATCGACTGGAAACAAGCAAATATTTTCATCTGAATCTGTCAAAGCTTGGAACAATATTGTTTTAACAGATATTAAATTTAAAACATTAAAAGAGATTCACAAAATGTTCCGAGTTATTTTCGAAACAAAAAAATTGATATAAAGCGTCAAAATCGTGGATATCCAAAATTTTGTTTCGCTCAATGTAATTCGATTTCGTGGCTTTTTAATTTTGACGATCGTTTTTCATCTGTCGTTTCTCTTTTGCCGTCCGTCTTACCTCTCCTAATTATCTCGGCGCGCAAAGGTACATCGATTATCGAAAGGGCGCGCTTGGAGAACTTGAAAGTTACTCCCCCGCGCGCGATATTATCGCTGCCTCGTGGGCCATTACGAGCTGTTACGAGCGCGCGAAAATGATCCCGTGCACGCGGCGCATTTTAAAAACGCAGGCAAACCTTATCCGTGACAGGCCGACCAGACATGGTTCACAATTGCACGACCTCGAACACGTCGACCAACTCGTTTTCCGTGCGGTGCACGGAGGGCTTCAACGGCGGCCTGCCGCAGTCCTTTCTGCTGGAGGTGCGCGAGAGCAACAGCCAGGAGTTGCGTGTCAATCTGACGTCGCCCGTGCCGCGCTTCAACGTCACTCACTTGGAGTCCGGCGCCCTTTATCAGGCCTGCATTTACGCCTACAACGACAAGGGCCGCAGCGAGGCGATGGTGGTGCAGGCCGGCACTCTGAGGCTGCCGGAAAAACAGCTGACGTCCGAGTCGGGTGAGAGAGTCAGAGAGAGAGAAAGAGAGAATTCTCCCAATTCTTTTCCGGATCTCTCCGAGATCCGGCAATCGCGCTATATTTTCACGCTGATATTTTCCCCGCGCTAAAAATCGAATATTCGACGGAAAAAAACACGTGCGTAGATACATAGTGCGATGTAAGTTCCATTGCGTACAGCGTTGGATATTAAAAAGTAAATTGATACACTCGTTCGATATATTTGAAAAATTCCTGCTAGACTCGCTGAAACGTTAATAACTCCAAAGCTTTCAATATCTTCCGAACAAGCTTCGGCATTCGATTTGCTTGAAAGTTCTGAGGAAGTATTGACTCGAAAGCATCACATCATTTTACGTGGTGGTATCCTACACGAGTGGTTTTCAAGCCTTTTTGCTTGCAACGCAGAATTCTTTTATCGTGGAGAGATCGCGCGACTGTATCATACATTTTTTGGAAGAAATTTACATGACGAGAAACAAAGTCCATTTCTGGGAAATGAAATTATAGAATTCAATTAATTTCTAATCAAATTAATACGATCATGGACGAAGTATCGTTCAATAACGTTGTGGACTATTGAAAACATAAATCATCACAATTTTAATCCTTATGATATGATTTCTTTTAATCTCCTCGAAATTTTTGACGTGTTTCTCTCTTTTCATAGTGCAATGTCCATGTGCGTCCGATGTTATGCGAAACGTTAATTCCAAAAGACAACGCGAGATTTAGGTAATTACGGAAAAATTTCACGTTCGATGAGGCAGAGCGCGGCTCTTCGCTCGCGCTGCCAATTGGCCGAATTGATGAAAAGCTATCGACTCAATATTAATTCGTCGAGCGAGCCGCGTAAAAAGCTCCCGGCGCTTTTATAACCCGTCGGGAAAAATCGGGTCAGGAATTGGCGATTTAATACCATCGGACAATTTTCCCGTTGTTTGCCTGATGCGATTGTTATCGTAATTTTTAATTCGTCCACCGCCGGGGTGGTCCGCGAATCGCTTTATATATCTCTATTAAACTAAAATGCGCTCCGCGCTCTAGTATTTGGGGCATTGCTCGTTGCATTTCGACGGGATATGCAAACAAGTCAAGCGTGACACCTGTGTCACGCACCTTTTATATTTTCATGAAAACCATTGCCCATTTACGTTATTAACATTTCGTGTAGCATCAAGCTGTTATATTGTATCACGTAATTCGTTAAAAATCCGCGATGCCCGCACGTCCAAACTTTAAAGTGCTTAAAAGCGTTTTCATTAAAGAGAATGTCATTTGTGTCGAAGTGCGGGATTGAAAGCTGTTTGAAATAGTTACATAATAATACCATCTAGACTGAACGACATAATAATACGACCTCTATTAATTAAAATGATTACGTGATAATGTAATTATCTCAATTAGATGGTCCCGTGCTCTCGATATATATCTATCGATCACTTCTGGTTCTCAATTCTTCGACTGGGCGTTTTGCAGAACGGCCGAGGCAGCATGACAATCTAACACCGATGCTGAGCGTGACGATCGGCGTTGTGATGGCCCTCATTATCGTCGCGATCATAGTGATGGTCGTCTTACGGGTTCAGCACACGCACGTGGAGGAGCAGAACAAGTCGCAGATGGAGGATCACGCGAAGCAGACGAAAGCCGTTCCCATACAAAGGGAGCTACGATTCCGGGAGGGATGCAGCTTGCTCGCGGACGAGAAGCATCCCAGCAGCCCGTTCAGAAAGCTGGAAACCAGCGGCGATCTCAGCGAAAGCGACGAGAAGAATCCTGACATTATTCCGCAGCAGATCACTGGTTTGTATCTTTGCGATTCCTGTGTATTAAGTTTGGAAAAGTTACGAAAAGTGAAATAAAAATCATGTCTAGATGACAAATTTAAAAGAAATATAATAGAATTAACAAAAATCAAAAATACATAATTTTGTCTTTTTAAACACAATTATATTTTCTGGAAAAACTCATAAATTAAAACGTCGATATACGATATAGTAAATTAAAGGAGCATGCAGGTGCGAGAGAGTTGTATAAATTACAAACAAAGTATCTAAAAGCAATCTTTAAGATTGAAAGAAAATCTCGCCGATGGAGCTCTTCCGCACGTTTTACGCGGTTGTTTCGGAAATTCCCTCGTTCGTGTTTACACCCTCATAAAACTTTCCGCGGCGAAATTTTTGGTGGTTGTAAAACTATCGTGAAATTTTCGCGCAGGTGACGAGCCGTCGGAATACTTGAGAAAGAGACGTCTGGTATCAACGATCGAGACGTCACCGTCGAGGAGCCTTCTAGAGCACTCGACGGTGACTTCCATCAGCGGACACAGCAGTTACGTCGGCTACTGCACGATCCGTAACGGCATGCCGCTGCACGAGTTCTCCAACTTGTCAACAAAGCACAAAAGCGTAAGTTCTATTGGGAATTCGATAATGTAAATGTCGTGCAATGCAAATGTCCCGTAGATATTTAACGAAATAACAGAGTAAGCTTACATTGACAACAATCGATGAGAGTAACGTATTGAAAGGATCGATTGCACAATTCAGGCTTAGATTGAATAATTAAATTGAATATCAATAATACAGCGTGAAACGTTTTTCGTAATAACGAAAATATCCTTCGATTATCTCTTTTGAATAATTTTGACTTTATATATGATTCAATTCGTCGATAGATATACGGAAATTATGAGTGACACGTTTCAGTTTCAGCCGATGGTGAGCGATGTCTACGAGAGCGGCGTTTGCACCCTGCCCAGGCAACACTGGCCCAGCCAGAGCGTTCAATCGATGTCGATGACAATGAGTCCACCGATGTTGTACGCCGGTCTGGGCGTCGTCGCCAGAACTTGTCCGAGCGGCACGCTCCAGACGAAGGATTGCGAGACACGAGTGTCCGGCCAATGCTGTCCAGCGGTTCAGACGCAGAAGGACGCGACGATAGGCACGCCGGTGGTGATGGCCAAGAGGGAGAGCTCCGTGTGACCCTACACCCGACACGGGGCCTGCACCTGCAGCGTGAGCGAGCTGCTGTGAATCACGCCGTTGTCAATCGCGAGATAGCCGCGGATCCCGGACTACACGAGCGTCCAGGAAACGTTTAGGAGATATCCACAGATCGCGCGAAGATTAGAACGTCTTTCAGGAAGACTGAACGAAACTTTAATTAAAACTCCGAAAGACGTTTGGACAATTATAGTTATCTAGATCTGAGGATTGAGATCTCCTTTGGACGATTCGTGGGGGGATAATTCCCTTTGCCAAACTGGAACGTCCCTCTCGACGCCTGTGTTGTCCGAGACGCTTCGAGCGTGCGAGCCGGTTCGAGTTCGACAGGTTTACGTTTCCACTCCACGACAAACGTCACGATTTGCATCTCTCTGTTGAATCAAGTGCCCTTTTTACACTGAAGAACGAACATCCCGACCGGCTGCTCTGCCGGCTTCTCTCAATCTCGTGCGTAGCCTCGTGACCGAGCCCCGGTGGAACCGCAACCGGGCATCTCGTATGGTAGAGAGTGAGTTTACGAAAATGTGCGTGCGCGAGCTCGCGGACTCGCCCGCACATACTCCTGTACATACCTCGAGACACGGAAGATATTTTGTACGAGTCGCGTATATTAACGATTTATTCCCACTTTTACTATGAACACAACACTGTACAATTTGTCTAGTCGATGTAAGTATAAATATGTATATGCGTTAAAGTCGTCGGGGAGAGGCGCCAGACCAGAATAACGTACACTGAGGGGGATGATCATCACCGTCGCGTCACGCTCGCGCCGCGCGCGCGCGCGGCGTAATTATTTATAACGTTGACAACGCGTAAACGCGAAATGCCGGGACTCTCGCGGGTACGGGAGAGAGAACGGGAGGCGAAGTTGTCAGAGACATATCGTTTGTATCTCCATCCGCGGGAATCGAGTGCGAAACGAGGCGTACGAAGAGCGGCGGAGTAATGAAACGAAAGACGGAGAAAGAGAAAAGAGGAATAGATGAAGAATAAAAATGAAAAGAATCCCCGTCGCGCTTTCATCTCAGTCTGCAGGATTCTGGATTTCACCGTAATATTAAGTATCTCTTGTACAATGTATAAAGTAACGACTTCCTTCGAAGTAAATGTACCGAGTATGATGAACGTTGTTTTTTCAAAGTCTTGAATCTTTACTCTATATAATAGGGAGAGGACGCCCCCGATTTACGCCCTAAAAAAAAAAGTGTGGTACAGTAATCGCGCGATAGCACTTCTAACTTACTGCCTGTTTCGACGCTTGTGAATCTCGATGATACTTCATTCGGCAGAGGTTTCCAGCCTCTCTGTATCATATAGCTTTAAAAAATGAGAAAAAAGAAGAAGAGAAACAAAGGTTCGTCGAAGGGCGCCCTCGTCATATCCTCCGTACGATACAGGGATAATCTCGTTGATTAGAGCGGCCCGAGTCGCGTCTCCGGGTCGCTAATCCGTGAAGGTGAGATGAAAATTGACCATGTAGCCTTCCCTTTGATATCGAGCAGTCGATTACTGGGCGATGCATTTCAGCTGTATTACGTATTATGTGAGACGCGCGTTAAAAGTCTCTCCTTTTCGCGCGAAGTGATAATACCCGCATTTTGCTTCGAACCGCAATCTGTACAGATTGATTTTTCGCGTATAGGATTACGCTCCGAACACGCGACGATCCTGCTGCGACTGCAAGGACTCACGTGAGGATTAGAATGCACTTTATACGGCGTGAGAAAAAGAGAGATATGTCTTTCGATGTTCCCATATTATACCTAAATAAGATCGACGTGTATCTAATCGTTCTAGAACTCGATAACGTAATTGTAATTAATTTGCCAATGAAATGATTGTATATGTTTTATTTTCTGGCGTTACAGCGCATTCCACGCTCGCTGAAGCAACGGTATCGATCTACTTCAGAAAACTAGAACAGGAATTCGAGACAAAGCTCTTTCAGGCGTGCAGAGAGCGCGGAAGTTAACTTTATTTTCGTTGGAAAATCGCGTTGCTCCTCTCACGTTTTAATTATTAAGCGTTGAATGAGTTTCCGTATCTCTGTAAGCGAATTTTTATCTTCGAGCGGAGTCGCGATTTCTGTCTCTTTCGACGCGGCGACGCCGAAAGTTTTCGTCGAAGCAGCACGGTATTTGTCCAACCAGATCGCAAGTTCGCGCAAATTGACCATAAAGGGAATGTAGGTTGTGACTGTTTGCAGTCGCGTCGTCGTTGCAGTCTGTTATACGTGCTTGCAAATGAATATGCAGAGGAGACGGTCCCACACACGAACGAAGCGCACGCGTCCGCGTTTCCGTTCGCCGAAGGAAACGACGAAGATAATATCGAGGACATCTAGCGAATTATTCGATGTGTAAGGAACGTAGAGAACGGCGGAGTCGAAGGTTTTACGAGCCGTAAAAAGCTATCGCGAAGAATTTCTAGGGCGAACACGTTGTTTCCTCGATCGCGCTTAGACGTTACGTTAATACGTCGCTCCCCGTGAAGATCTATTAACATTTAAAAGAAAAATGAGATAAATCGTTGATTATTATTATTACTGCCATTAATGGAATTGATGTCGGAACATTGTGAGTGTATGTTGTCGAAGAGAATTTTTAGTAATCGTTGAAACACAGCCGATCCGCGCGTTTCTCCTCCCCCTACCCCGTCCCCCTTGTTATAACTTTTGCACACATAGAGATTGTAGCCGTATGCAATATAAAAGGACGTTGCAACAAAGAGATTCTACGATCCGACAACGGGGAAATGTCACGGAAATGAAAGAAACGTACAATAAAACCTGGATTCAAACTGCCAAAGTTTTCTATACTTTGTTCGTACACACGTGTGATCACTATATACGCGCACTATACTACGAGAAACGTGTGAACTTTTTAATAATAAATAGTAACGGATTTTTTTTGCTAATGAGACACGATCATTTTGAGAATATATTTATTAATTCCATTTTGTCCGCATCGAATTCAAGGAAAGATCAAAGGGAAAATAAGTAATCGGTTTTTCGTATATCTTGCTGGCGAACAATTGATTTTCAGGGCACAGTCTACTTTTCGCTGTTCGGGTGATTCGAAACCTCTCGACGGCCATCGAACACGTCGCGAGGCATGATGTCGTAAGGCGGTGGCCAGACATTGTTATCTGCAAAAATGACAAATTAAACGGTCATCATCGTCAACCAGCACTAGAAGATAAATGTGAGTGTCGAGATCGAATCGCGCGTGAATCGTGCAGTTGATCTTCAGCGAAAACATGATATTTCGACGTCGGTTGTACTCGTTTCAATGTATAATTCAAGTGTCGATCGAAAACACGACCTGCCAAGGGAATATCGTTTTTCTCTAATTTTTTTTTTTTTCAAAGGTAAGAGTGCGTCGCTGCACCGTTTTGTATGCATCACTGCTTGTATATCGTAATAAATGAGACCGGATATCTGACCAGCCGCCGCTTGCGCGAGACATTGAAATTTGTATATGTACTTTATAGTTTAGGACTATCTCCGACACACCACCACCACCACACACGAGTCTCATGTACCCCATACCAGAACGTTTTTTTGATATTGTAAATATTCTGAAATAAATAATCGTTTTTATTCACGCGGCACGCATTATTGTGCCCCCCCCCCCCCCCCGGCGGTGATCTTCGCGCGGATCAACGACGATTCAATCGGTTTGCATATTGAATGTCAATATGAGCCATTTATTTCTTTCTAAAACTTGAGGTATTAAAACCCATGCACAGCCACAAATCTGTCGGAAACAGATGCTGCGAAGTGTCTGCTAATTTATCGGCAGAATGCCAATAGAATATAATAAAATATGTATATGGCAAAGAATTGATTGACAGAAACCGAGCCAAATCTGCCATTTCGTAATTAATCAAATGGAGAATATGTCGTTCATTGCTAATTTATTATTCCATTTAAATAATTACGAAATGGCAGCTCCCACTCATTTCAGACTCCGACAGAATATGCGCTTAGGTTGACGCCACCTCGGCGTGGTGATCTGCTGGAATCCGCTGACAAACTGCTGACACGGTACAGCTAATGTTTTGCTTACTGACAATGAAGTGTACATGTAATTCTCTTACCATCCCAGAACGCGCTTGGCGACGCGTCGGAATACATTCGCAAATGCTCCTCGACGGTGCTGAGCCCGGGCACGTTCACGTTCAGGAGAAACTCGAGGACCGTGCTCTCCGGGAGATACCGAGCCGCTTTGTCTCCCAAGTTTCGTAGCGCGTCTTGAGCGTCGATCGACTGTAAAATCGAATGAAACCAGCGTCACGAGGGTAGAAACGGAGGAAATTCTTAGCTTTATACATTCGGTATCTCGGAGAGAGAGAGATTCAGAGAGAATCTCTTCCTCCCTCCCCGCGAATTCAACAATTCTTTGAAGCCTCATCAAACCTCTCGACCCGTGCGCGCACGGAGAGCGTGGCTTGCCTTACGTATCTCCCTTTAGATCTCTGCAAAATTGCGAACCTTTTCACGCACCGCGTTTGCAATATACTCGCATAGCGTGTACACCTTTATTAGACAGTTTGAGACTTGCTTTAGAATTTCGTCCAACGTGCGGGCGTCTAACGTCCCTATTAAGGTCGGCGGCATCGTATAGACGTGGCACCACCCCGGGAAGAATCTCTGCAAGTGCAATATACTATGTATGCGTTGTTTTTTTATTTTATTTTTTTTATGCAGATACACGCGCGCCACATATCAGGCCACCGACCTGATGAACGTGATGATACGAAGGCAGGGGAATTGCTTTTCCGAATTTACATTCATCGTCGTCCGCGGCGTACATAAGCTCGTAGTGCTTATAAATGATATCTTCCCACGCCTATCAAGAGAATAAATCTCCGCCTTATTTCCATTTCTCGCTTCAGGAAACAAATAACGACGAGAGTAGGATGGATCGCAAAAATTAATGAGAATCACGAAAGAAAAATTGTACAATTCAAAGATTGGCAATTCAAATAGGCAATAATTTATTTTTACATTTCTGTGGTGTATATATAATCAATAATGTTACATAATATGCAGATAAAACATTCAAGTGTACCTCTAACACGTGTATGTAATACGTCGGGTAAACAAGAAACAGTCCAGTGATGGGCATGCTATTATAATCCACGCGTAAATTCCTAATAATATTTTCCATTTTCTACGAAATAGGATAAATTATACAAAAGGTATACTGTATACTTTTCAATTACGATTTGTGTAATCAGAATTGGTATCAATCGTTTTCATAAAGGTATTGTTTCTGCACAACAGAAACATTAATTATCTCTGATATTTGCTCGCTATTTTCGTTGAATATTACTGCGAATTAATTTAATGTCCTTTAGAATGTAACAGCTAGATCGTTCGGAGATTATTTCAGTCGCGCTATGACAAAACTCTAAAATACGACACATATAATTTACGATGGCACTCACCGTTCGCAAAACTTCATGAGTTCCGCGATATTCCCCGAAGTAAACGACTCGCGTAACGTAAGTTTTCTAAAAGAGAATACGCGACGTGTATTTCAAGAAAGAATTGTATAAGCTTTACTAGCGCTTCTTCACTGAGAAAAAAATGTCGTTAATTTGACTAAACTCGTTTAGTTGTAGTGATTTGTTTAATGCAAATATTAATATATTTAAATCAAATATACGTGAGTAATATTAAGAAATTCTGAATTTATTTCAATATAATATTTTTTGAATTAACAAATGTTTGCTTGACAGCCCGTGACCGCTGCATTTAGTTAAATCAAATAATATTTCTTTGAATCAACGATTTTTTTTTCTCAGTGTTGGTATTATTGCAGTTTAATTTTTAATATTACGAATCGTCACATAATGTTTCTTATACACACGAACCTTTTATATCACACCGTTTCAGTATCACTTTCGTTAAAAGTTTTTAATTATAAATGTATGTTTTAAACAGTCAAATAGTACAACTTACGTAACCAGCAGCGCGAAGATTATATTGTATCACATCTAAAACGCTTTTTCTCACCGGTTCGGTTAATGACGCCATTAGCTCACAACGTATTTTTACTCACTAAGTAATACGCGTTAATTATGTGATAGCCTACTGTCAACTTCGTAAATTCGTCTTTCGCAGTAAAAGCAAAGAAAATCTGCGTAATTTCTTTGTAGTTTTTATATGATTTCGACATGCATTGTAAAAAACATTGGTAGAAGAAACAATCTGAATGCATTCAAAGAATACCTTTTTCCATCCAACCTGAATGCTTACTTTGAAGCTACCTTCGTTTGCTGCAAGTTTTATATACGTAGTGAATAAAAATACGACATATATATACGTTGGCGTCATGAATATTTTAATAGAAAAATATGCGCCAAAGATTGAGCTGCTCCGCATCGTGAATAAATGAGAACGAATTAAAAAGTAAAAGCGAAGAAGATAAATCAGTGATGCACTCGGATAAAGGACGATCTCGATATATATGCATCAAATAAAATGGCCAAATAATTCTTTTTTTAATGAGATTCTCTAAAAATATATTTATCAGAAATTTCTACATTAGTGATAGATTGATATCGCAGACCAGAGATTCATGTAATCTAATTAATTTATATAATCAATCGACACATTGTAGTAAAAAGATCGCTATGAAAAAATCAAATAGTGACAGAATTGTGCAATAAACGATTGCAATTTTGCATTTTAATTCCGCACGAAATATCCGACTACGCGTTATCACAATCGGGTTTAAAATTAACATTCATTATTGCGCTTATTCTAAATATAATACTAAATCATATTGCTAGATCACAAACAGTTCCAAAATTATTTCTTTGCTATAATCGGCAGCAACGGCGGCGTCGGCTCGCTAGGATTACCCAGCCACACGGATTTACTAAAGCGTCCCTTTATAACGGGCGCTTGCCACTTGTTACTGCAGACGACGGTAGCGGTCGGCTTCTCCGCCGTGACCGTGGCTATGCTTACAGTCCTGAAATAGTAACAAAGATTATTTTATTTTTATATAATGAAAAAAATCACGCACTGATAACGCGGATCAAGTCCTCCGGTTTAACGAATTGAATTAAAACGAGATAATGAAACAAGAATGTTTCCATTGCGAGCACTCCTCAGGAAAAAAACTACTATTGTGGTAAAGAATTTTCACACTTTGACAGAACAAGGGAGGAGAAAATGAAAAAATATTCGTGACATAGAAATAGCATTTATTAATGAAAAATGTGTTACAAATCTTCTTGAACGCCATTCATGTTATAGTAAATTTACGAAAAAATAATTTCTCAAAATTTGAATACGTATTGTGAGGATTTCTTCGCGCGGAGCCTGCTATAATAATACATACTCGTTCTATTCATATCCTCCACCCATATCCTTGAAAATTGTTTATACACTTTATATTATATACAAATTGCTTTGTGTAATCAACGTTGCAACATTAAACAATTTTAATTAACAATAATGTGAGATAATCGAGATGAGTTTGTCTCTAAATAAAAAAGAGGATAATTCTAATGAAATATAAAATTACAATAAAAGTGCAAGTGATGGTATAGTAATATTTAGGCCTGTCCGTTTTCGCTGCACTTCTAAACTAGTGCAATAAGTTAGAATGAAAGAAAATATATTTGTTTCATTTAACTTATTGCACTAGTTCAGAAGTGCAGCGAAAACGAACAGGCCTTTTATCACAGTATATAAACATATGACTGTTTTAGAGAACAAACCCAACAATAATGGTGCGATAGTAATATATACATTATAAAGACGAAATAAAACAATAAGGATGGATGGAGAACATAGGTGAATCACAATTTTCGTGATAACAATTGTACGCTTCGTATTTTTCTATCTGGTAGAAACTGGCACGTCAATAAACACAAAATAATTCACGATTGTCTATTCTAGAAATTGCTTAGGTCCTCTAATGCCAAGGTACTTGACTTGGATGACTGATGGTACCCAGTTTGTAGTACCTGGTGGTAGACGGCTGTTGAGCTGGTGTAGACGAACTCGGCGGAGTCGCTACAACGGGCGTCTCAGCACCCTGAGCTGGAATTCCGTCTCCCTTAAGGACAGAGATGCATTTCCAATGGTTAATGAAATTGTCTTTCCACAATCGGACGCAGCCGTCGTCGCCGGAACTCGCTAAAATCGTTCCCATGCAGTTCCAGCTGACGCGCCAGACCGTGCAGTAATGATCGTCGAACTGCGCAACTACATTCGTTTCGAAATGCGAAGACACACCTGTCTGCGTACTCTCCCTGAAAGACAAATAGCATACGTTTTTACCTTCCAACTTGCCAATATAATTTTTTATGCGGTCTCGAAGAACTTGTACTTACTCCGTCGGCTTCAAAGTGACTATCCGTACGTCTTTCGTAGCTATGGCCAGGGTGTGGAAATTTCTGCCTAGGTTAGGAGCAAACGCAATGTCGTAAACGGCATCCGTAATGCTCGACAATGTCTCGGCCTTCACCCAACGCCTGCTATTCTCAGAATATTCGTAAATAAAGATTTTTGCCCCAAGCGTAGGATTCGGATCGTCGCTGCCGACTGCTATCATAGGCGGATGTAATCTAAAAATATATTTTTGTCACATGTTAATACAAACACATTCAAATATTGAATTTTGTCTTATTCATTGGGTAGGCAGTCATGTAATAATTATTATTTCATTTTTTTTTTATACCAATAAAATAAAAAAGAATGAAAGAAGACAGGAGTACATTTTTTACCTTGAGAGAGATGGATTCCACGTAAGACAGCTACACGAAAGTTTGCAGTTGATGTCGTGTTGTAACGTCCACTGACTCAAATTCATGATGTCTGGCGCCTCGTATATCCGAATGAATCCATCTGCGCTGCAAGTAGCCAATAGAAGGCCCAATGTCTTTGGTGCAAACTTAACATCCGTGACCGAGGTACGTGAGTCAACTAAGTTTGTTCTTTTAATCCAATGCTTGCTGCCACGTGCTTCTGGCCCAGAGCCTTCGCCAACTGTCGAGAAAGAGAAGAGACGTAGAGAATAGTAGAATGTGCTGTCATCGAATTCAAAAATACAGAAAAATTAAAAATGATCCCTCCGTCGTACCAATCTCCTCCCAAACGGCAGCGGTGCGATCGAATGAACATGTGGCGAGAACCTGACCAAATTCCGGGTGCGCCCAAGTGACCTTCCATACCGATCCGCTGTGGGCTTTCCAGGAAGCAGTTAAGTGCCAGTTTCCATGCTCGTCCTCATCCCAAACCTGTAATATTTTATTATATTGTCGTATTATATTTCATCAGCAAGTATATACATCAATAGAATTCTCGTAGAAAATTAATTCTGTATTATATGTATCTAATATCCGTGTATTTAGCGACGATCGAGCGCGTGGGTAAGCAAACTTGAGGAGGAAACAACTGAATTGAACATCCCATGCGTCTCTTCAACGTACCTTTACAAATTGATCACTGGAGCACGTAGCCATTCGTTCCCCATAGTAGTCGTAGGCGATATCGTGTATGAGATCCTTGTGTTCCGCGTTAATGCTGTGCGCCTCGTACATCGCGAATCGTAATAAACGTCAAGTGGTATATATACTCGCGTGAGAGATTGTTTACTAAAAACAGCGCGCGCCACGCGCTGAAGGTTATGACACAGCGTGCTCCGTATCGGCGATCGGCGCCAGTGTTGCTGGAAGAAAATGAGGGACGCACTCATGATGTAAGAAGAGGACAGGTGTAGCATTGCGCAAAATGGCGGCCGAAGAATACGACAGCCAATCAATTTTTGGTCCGGAACACATCGCGCCACATTCAATTGTAGCATAATTAAGTCAAGGTCCGTGACAAGAATGCAAACACAATTAAAAAATTTGTAATTATAATACGAAAACTCATAAATTAATAATGCGGAAACGTTATAATGCGGAAGGTATTGTTATTGTGTAGTCTATAATGTAAATTAGAATATACAATTATTTTTGTATTTTTTTAATCGAAAAATCAAACATTGCGTCTAGTCATAAGTATTATAGCATTACATATAAACTTGTAAGAATAAACGTTTTCCAACTATTAAAATATTTTTACATCATTCAATATTTTGTATGTACCTACATTGCTTTAATTTCTTTGAATTAAGTATCTAAAAGCAACTTTCGAAATTCTTACAACTAATAAATATAACTTCGAAATTATATTGTCGATCACTTAATTCCTTGAAAAATTATGATGTAGAAATATTATAGATGCTTTCTCGGAATCGCAATTCTTGGAATTTTAGATAGTGCATCCTCTTCATCGATTCTTAGATTTTAAATAGCGCATAATCTTCTGCAGCAATTTTTGTTCTCCTGATACTTTGTCTATATTAAAGATTGTTAATTTTAGCGATATTTGTAAAAATTGAAACCACAACTTGCAATAGTTAATTTATCTCGTTTACAATAATTATGCTTAACTTTAATTATAATGTTACTCTTGATGTAAATATAATAAGAAAAATAAAATTGAAGTATTTTACAGAAACAATGAATTATTACTTATTCTACCTTTCTCTTCTTTCTTTCTTCCAAAAAGTCTTTTGGATCCCATATTAAAAATTCTTTATGTTGATAAATCAAGAAATCAAGAAAAGTGAGAGAATTCACTAGAGTATCTACGATTTTATTGGTCAAAATCTAATAAATTTGTTCACTTTTCGCCTCGCATTTACACCTCGTTTACAAGTGTTTATTCCAGTATGGTTGTGGATACAAACCCTCGAATTAAAGTCTGGCCATAAGACAGCCAGTTTTGTCAAAAACGAGAGAAACAAAAAGAGAAAGAGATAGAAAAGAGACAAAGAAGGAGATAGAAAGAAAGAGAAAGCGATAGTGAATGTACTGAATGTGTATTCTCTCTCGTAAGATTTTGACAAATTTGCCTTATGGCCCGACTCTTAATTATAAGGTCTCTAGTTATGGAGGATTTATCGGTCAAACGCCGGACGCGGTGTGAATCTTCCATTATCGCTAGATAATGGGATCGACTTTAGCGCGTTTCCGGAATCTCGCATGGGATAGGATAGCCGATATAGCGCGCCGCATCTCTTGCGGAACGCATGAACGATAATGAGCGCGTTCAGCAGACACAACTGTTGAGTGTCGTCTTATCAACACTCTGCGTTGATTGGTTGGGTCTAAAAGTAAGAGCCAATCACGTTCGATTGCTACTGAGCGGTTTGTTCTGGTGAACGCGCCCAATATAACACCATGGGCCATACAATATATTACATATAATATCTAAAAAAATCAATTTGATAAATTTGATGTTATATGGCCTGGCGCCTGTCAGCACCGACAGAATTATTGGTACATGAGCAAAGACACGTGGATAGTAGCCTCTGCGATCATTTCAAACTTGTCTCAAATATAACACTACATTCGCAATGTACAATTAATTTAAAAAATGCTGAGATTTAATTGCCACGCACAATACAGAGCACTATGAATCAAATCAAAGAGTATGGCGTAAATTAAAGAATGCTTTAAGAGTTTAAGAATATTATGCATATTTCGTCACGGAATTATGATAAAAATATTTTTTTGTTCTGCTCTTCCTCTTCCCGTTCTGCGAGGAAATTAGCTATATATAGCTTTATAACGTAAAATATTTATACTGAAATTATATTTCATATATCGCCTTATATTAATTGGATATTATGAAAGAATTGGAATTTTTATTTAAACTTGATAGGAAAAGTTATAGAACTTTCAATTTTCGTAAAAAAGAAATAGGTAAACCTTCTCTCTTCTCTTTAATTAAATTTAACGAGAATATTAAACATCGGCGAATCACTGTTCTTGTACATTATAATTGATTATATTAAATATTACGTATATTAAAAGACTGCCCCTTTAGGGCACTTAGCGTTGCGAAGCTACGCAAAAGTCATGCGTTAAGGCGGTTTCGGATAACACTTTGACCCGTTCGTACGGTGTCCGTTATCCGAGACTCGCTCTCGCGCAATTGCAGCTGCAAACGTATTCCTCGACCACCCCGGCTGATCGCCAGCGAGAATGCGATCAAGTGTATCGCGATAATGACCGGACATTTTCGCTGATCTCGCCTCAGTAATAGCGCCGTGCGAGCCATCATTATCGCATAGCTAGAGTGATTATCAGGTGATCCTCAGGTATACCTCAGGTAACGCGACTGGTTATTATTACATTTATTAGTATAATAATATATAGAAAAAGAAATTTAATTAAATTTGCTACAATTTTAATTGAATTCGCTAGTTTTCTATCGTTTCTTATAACATTCTTGTGCTTCGAAGATAAGCATAAGATCGGAGGTGTAAAGTACAGAAGGTATTTCATAATGCTCTTTATATATCTTCGATCTTACTACTTCTATTCGTTTTGTATTAAAATAATGTAGTTGACTTCTCGGAAGAAGTTGATACGAAGCATTGTCAAGAGAGTAACACGCATTAAAAAATTCAATCAATCGTTGTCTCTGTCAAATTTGCGCGAAATTTATAACATGAATTGTCACAGATATAGCTTTTTATTTTGTTAATTTTGTATATCTCGAGCTTGTAGAAACAAATGCGTAAAAATTAAAAAAGCGCCAATTAATCAAACGTAAATAAAATAAATCTTTGCGACAATGCAGAATTCTTTCGAGTATCAATCGTGAAGAATGACTTGCGCGTCAAGTCCTGTTACCTACACCTCTTTATCGCATTTCCGGACCATATTATGTCTAGGGTTTGCATACGGTGTAAATAAATACTTCATATCGTGGAGTGTCATCAGGAACTTCAGTCAGTCGTCTTGTGTGTGAGATACTTCGCGCCTTCGAGTCAGTGCCGAGATCGAGTCGTGAATTGTCGGACGTTTCTTTGTTAAAAAAAAAAGAGAACGAAAAATGTAAAAACGAAAATTGAGTGACGATCGGTTAACCAGAACTGTCGTAATTACGAAAACCTTGCACAAAACATAATCGTGCAAGATTAGAGAGTCGTGCGAAATCAACGAAAGTGATGTAATGTGTTAGAAAATATCGAAAAAAAAATCATTTTATTTTATTTTATATACACGTATAAGATAATTATTAGAGCGAGTGTGATATTAAAATATCTTCTAATGGTGAATATTCTGAGAGATCAGAAATAATAAATATAGCAAAGCTCACATACACGTCAAATAAAAAATAAATATATATATTGATAGAATTATTAAATAAAAAATTAGAAATATTAATTATTCTTTAAATGATATGCAATTATATATTATATATTAATATTATTCTTGAAAAAGGGATGGCTATATGAGAGTCAGACGCAGTTATCTGTGCGTGAGTGATCAAATCACTGATTTATTCCATGTGTACACATTCGACGAACGTTTCGGCTCGGGATTGAGCCATCTTCAGCGAAAAAAATAAATAACATATATTTTATAATTAAAAGTAATAACTGTCAAGTATGCTATGAAAATAAATACGCTGCGTCACATTTGCCCAAATATACAATCGCTAATTGACCCGGCTATTTGTGAAGCACGTATTCCCTAGAAGAGATCTTCGTAAATAAAATGGCGATCAGTTTACATTCTTAGATTTGGGATTAAATGTACAACTCGGCGGTGATACAGCATCCTCTTTTGCGCGCTGTGCTGTCGGTAAACAGAGTGTAAGGACTTTGTAAAATGCCATTGAAAGTATTATGCTCCGTTTATCAACAGCACGGTGCGACGGGATCATCTGCTGATCGATCGGGAGGGCTCTACTTACGCGTTTGATATTTTTGCGGCTCCCATATCCCAGCATAACACAGCCGTGTCGTTACGAGAGGCATTATGCTAGGAATATGCGGTGTCGTACGAATGCATGCCAATCTACGTCACGAAAATTTCGGAGTTTCACTTTTACAAGTTGCACCACGGCGAAAATCAAGAGACACGGCAGTGACCACGGCGAAAATGGAAAAATCATGAAATATTTAAATATATTAATTAAGATATTAAATTTTAAGTAACACGGATATATATATATCGAAGCGAGCGTTGCGGATTACATTGTCGTGTCCCATCCATCTGCATTTGCGAGGTAAGGAAAACACTCGGGAATTGTATATATTTTATTTGCAAACTTGTGACGAACGATATAGCGACGATTTGTAATCGCCATGATTGCGAAGAGCATCTCGTTTGTCGTCTCATTGTTCGTCAAATGCCATTCAATAAACGGAGATACATCCGCTCGCGCCAAAGAATCATCAATGCATTTGTGACGTCGAAGAAATCTTTTCCCGATTCACCGAGGTTATCTATCTTCGCGACCTTATTACATTTATTTTCACGTACTGTTAATGTGCAATCGATGGCAACGCGACGGCAATTTGCGCGAGGAACTCACGGAGAGCGAATCCGCAATTAATTTCGGGTGACGTTTTCTCTCATGTTAAGAACAAATCGCGTTTCTCGTGTGATCACGCGATAGGAAGGCAAGAGTTGAAATTGCTTTAAGTTTTTGGTAAGTTCCATTTTTTGTTTCTTTTCAGACATGACATATAAATCTGAATAAATACAAGAAAAACCGAACGTATTTAATAATCGTATGACAGAAAATTTTGAGTGAATAATAATGTAATAATTTTTATATAACGAGCAGCTAATTATCCAAAATATCAATATCTTACAACAATTACTATGCATATTTTAAGGAATAAATTTTTTTTCTTTTATACTGATGTATCTTTAGTTTAACGTTGTTTAAATTGATAAAACTGCAGAATTTACTCCTGTTTATTGGGAATCCTTGAATTTATGAAGTAAATATACGGTCTTGACTCGCGTAAGTAGTTATAATCTTTGTTATCACGGATAAATATAGATATTACGCAATGACGCATATAGATAATATAGATTACAATCTATATTATCAAACTTACTACCCGTATTAATCTCAGAGAAGCAATATCCATCGAAATCGGTGTCATAAACGTCAGCACGACATCGATCAGTTGAAATCAAAGAAAATGCGTGTGGCCGTCGTGGGCGCCGGTATAATAGGAGTAACGAGTGCGTTTGCAGTGAAAAGCTCGTTTCCGAGCTACGACGTAAAGATCTTCGCCGACGCATTCTCACCTGATACCACTGGCGACGGAAGTGCCGGTTTATGGAGTCCTTTTCTTCTCAGCGACACACCTGCCGAGGACATAAAGTAAGCCGATTATATCTGCAGAGAATAAGAATGAGATCGCACGTCATGACGTTCAAAGATCTTCCGGAGAAAAATACACATATTGATTGTTCTTGATATCGCTTTCACGTATTGTAAATACAGACAGATAGCTTTAAACCGTTCAGTATTTCGCATGGAGATAATTTTTCGTTATATTTTTTACTGTTAAATTCACTATTCACCACAAACTTGGAACAACTTGAGAATCAAATATTATCGGTAACAATAGGAATTTTTCGAAATATATAAAAAACATTTTACAAACAACGTAATAAAAATTATCAAGCAGATTGGTAATTTTTGAAAAATTATTGAAATTTTACTATATATTTTAGTAAAATAAATTAAACATATTTATATTTTATTGTAATAGATATTAATATTTTTTATTATGGTAGATATTAATCAGAATAGCTCGCATAAAATTTCTCGCAATACACGTTGTCCCACGATTACCATGATTTTCAGAATAAATTCTAAGAGAAAATTTTCTCTGTGCGTATATAGTTAATAAATAATAATTAATTGCATGATATTATATTAGTCGATGGGCTGGCAGCACACATCGGTGGCTCGAGCAATTGTGGAAAACCGGATTATCGTCGGAAACGGGTGTTTCCCTGCTGCCTGTAACTCGCCTTATTAGCGATTACGAGGATAGCACTGAGCCAGGATGGGCGAAACTCGTCTATGGCTTCCAAAAAATAAGTAACCAAAAATTACAGCGCTTGAACGAAGAACACAAGTCTAATTATAAGTATGTTTTCAGCATTATATCTTAAAATTCAATCACCATATAATTAAAAATTAAATAGTAATTATTATTGACACAAAAATATGGAGAAATCACCTTGTTTTAATTACCGCTTACTGTTATTGTTATTTCTTTTATTTGATCGTTTACCGAGATTGAAAATTAATTGATTTCAGGCAAGGTTGGCATTTTATAACTTACACCGCCGAACCGGTTATGTTACTGCCATGGCTCATGAAAAAGTTCGTTGCGTTGGGCGGAAAAGTGGAAAAAAGACATATTAAAATGTTGCACCAATTAGCCGAAGAAGGGTATGATCTAATAATAAACTGCAGCGGGCTCGGTGCACGAGAACTCGTCGCGGATAAAACGATGACGCCTATCAGAGGTCAGGTGTACAGGGTAATTGACTTTCCAATTTATAATTTCTATATATCTCTCTCTTTCAAACAGATTCAAGTTATCATTTACTAAAGTTACAGTAGTAACGATACGTTTGTATATTCAACGTGCGCGAACATAAAAATATTTTAAAGTTGTCGTTTAAAAACGTTAATCTTTCCCATTAAAAATAGATTGAAAATCGCACGCAAATTCTGTCTCTTCTTCTTTTGTCAATGCCCGTCTGATATATATCTCTCTTAAAATATTTCCTTGCCGAGAAATAAAGAGAATTAACTTAAAGAGTGTTGTATTTAAGGTAAAAGCACCTTGGGCGAAGCACTGCTTTATGGTGGACGATGACGCCTGCAATTACATCATCCCTAAGTATACAGCATTAATAACGCATATTTACACTCTCAGAAAAGATTTCTAGATACAATACTATTAGGATTGAAATAGGGCCAATCATATTTAGAATTGAAAGAAGAATATTTTAATCTTAAATAGAGGAATTTTTAAATCTAGAATAATTCTGAGAAAATTAGAGGGATAGCATCAAGATTATTTTATTCTAGATTTAAGAATTCCTCTATTTAAGATTAAAATATTCTTTTTTCTAAAAGTCTAATTTAAGAATTCCTTTATTTAAGATTAAAATATTCTTCTTTCAATACTAAATATGATTGGCCCTATTTCGATCCTAATAATATTGTATCTAGAAATCTTTTTTGAGAGTGTATTAGCAGTGACGTTCATTACTTCGTAATATCTGTCCATAGTGTCCACAACGTTGTAATAGGCGGCACCCATCAAGAAGGCGACTTCGATCGCTCCGTACGAGAGGAAGACTCGAAACACATTTATGATGGATGTTGCCGCATAATGCCGTCTCTAAAGGTCCCTAAGATATACTTGTTAGCGTAAATTTAAATAAAAAAAAAAGACTAATAACTTCCCAAAATAACTCGCGCTTGTAATTTCTGTTGCAAGGAAAGTGAAATAACGAGCGCGTGGGTGGGCTTTCGACCAGGACGACCGCGAGTTCGTCTCGAGTGCGAGAATCTCAGCTCGCCCATGGGAAAAGAGTTCAAGGTAAATTGCCGTAAGATATTATACGTTAATACGGCGAGAGCAATACCGAGCTGAACTTTAACGCACCATTATTCGAGCGCCGCTAAACTTTACGGTCGCCTTCCTGTATATATATATATAACGCTTGTTTCGTGCTTTATATATTTCAGGTGATACACAATTACGGCCACGGCGGAAGTGGCGTGACGCTGAGCTGGGGGTGCGCCATGGACGTCGTGGAGATGATAAAAAACTTGAAAGTATCTGAATTAAACTCCAAACTATAACTTTTATCCTTCGTACATTTTTACCCGCATCGTTGCGGGGCGTTTAACCTTGCTCGACTCTTTTCCTTTTATATCACCCGACGAGAATTGTGTCGTTAAAAATATTATTTTCATTAGCTTCTTCTTATTTAATTCTTTTAGGTGAGATTTTAGATTTAAATTAAATCTAAATTATTTTCTCCATCGCGAGGCATTGAGTGTTACCGTCAAGAACTTCTTACTTCTCTCGATCTGCATCGCTTGTATCTATTTGACATGGCAGTTGATCGATATCTTCGTAATTCTTACTTTAGACCAGCCTGTTTCGCATAACAACGGCAAAAAGTCGAGAAACATAATTAAACGTCAAGAAAGCGAACGTAAACGCGCGCGAGGGTTCGATCTTCGGTTTCGCGGAGCGCACCAACCTATTTAAAGTTTTCGTGTCGTGATCACTTCCGTAACTGTACAATTTCTAAATATGGTCGTCGGGCTGTAATTAAAGCACCAAACTAACTTACCGAGATACCTTTACATGTCGACCATGCCGCAGTAGTCGCGTAAAGCTAGACGTTGGTGACGCGTGTCCCTCTAGTCGCAGTACGATCTATATCGGTCGCACGGGTTTCTATTCGCGACAGCGTTATACAGGAAGATTACCTCTGCTCAAACCAGAATACCTCCCTTAAAAAATTCTTTGTTTTTTATACAGAGAAATATGATTTTATTTATTTTAATTTAGTAATAATTATACATTATAATAATAATCTATAACAAATAAAAAACATTGTAATAAAATTCAAATTATTTTATTATAAATCCGAAAAGGTTTGATATCTACTTACAAATTTGAATACTTAAGTACAAACTCAAGCACTGCCGAGACTTTTATCTGCAAAAAAACTAAAAGTAGAAATCTTGAAGGTTACAAACGACAGATTGTAAAAACTGTTGTCAAAATCAATTTGTCAATATGGTTTGAGTGTCAATCGACGAAAGATCAACAACGTATCAATTTATCGATTATCGTGTCTACGCGGAAAATGTATAGATGCGAGAGGGATCAAGTTCGGATCGGATTTGAAATTGGACGCGAAATTGACTGACAGGTCAATAATCGAATAATGGAAAGCAGCAGCGGTCATGATCGTCGTTGAGTACGGCGATAAGCGTCCGCTGGTGATATTACGCGATTCCAAAAACGGTAATTCCAGAAACGAGGACGTGACAAACGGAGAATCCGACACCAGCTTCGAGGAGCGACCCTGCAAGACCGCATCTCAAAATCGGAAATACATCGGTCCCGACGATTCCTCGGACGTCTTATCGCTTGCAAACGACAGAATAGGTGTTGCCAAGCATGATTTCGAACGGTATCATTGGAAGATTACCACGAACAAAGGCAGCAACACAGGTATTCATTCAATCGTAAATCCAACAAAATTGAGATGGCAAATTCGAAATTACGTCTTGGTAAAAAATCCACGCACGAGAAAGATATAAAACAGGGGGGATTTATAAATGTAACAAAAAATTCGTAAAAACTTTTGTTGCTTCAGCGATCTGATTGCTGCGAAATTTATCTTTTAATATTGGCTGTATAAAAAAATGCCATTCTCTCTATACGCTTTAAAATCTTCCAAGTTTTTCATATCCGAGTATTATTTTACGATCCGTTAATAAAACTTCCCCGAATAGACGCGTTATGCGAGGAAAGTGATTCAGAGCGGCGCAAGGAGGATGTGGAAGAAACGTCGAAGACCAGGAAGAAGAGAAAGCGGAGGTATTGCGAAAAATTACATGTCCCGTTTGGGAATGTAATAAAATTGACTTTTCGGTTTAACAAAACAGATTTTTAACAATCTGCACGGCGAACTGCAAGTACGACGTGGTTAGGCGCGTGGCCGCGCGATTCGGGATGAGGGAAGTTACGGAGGACAGCAGCTGGGATATCTATTGGACCGATTTAAACGTCAGCGTCGAACGTGCCAAGGATATGAGGAGATTTCAAAGGGTCAATCATTTCCCCGGGATGACGGAGATATGTAGGAAGGATCTACTCGCTCGTAATCTCAATCGCATGCAGAAGCTGTTCCCGAAGGACTACAACTTTTTCCCGAAGACTTGGTGTTTTCCCGCGGAGTAAGATAACAATATTTGCTCGTCGCAATTGAGAAAAATTAATTTCCTGTTTTATATTAGAAGTGCATCGAGATTAAATAAACTGGACAATTTTGTCGCAGTATTATCCGTCATATTAAACAAATAAAACATTATTTTCCACTCTTCTCTCGCGAATGAAATATTGTTAAAATGTTAAATAAAATATTGTTTAAAATGTTAATAACTGTATAGTCTGTTTTACATATATAATAATATCTTCCGCTTTGAATCTAATTGAAACTTGATATCGTGATACAATTATATATATTTTTAATAACAATAATTATAAGTAACGAGATAAAATATCATATGGTAATTCTTCGAATCGGTTTCACGTGTCAAAATAACGAATGCAATCTATCGATCGAAAGCTCTCTTATCTATTTTACAAGCGCGCCGCGGCTCTTGTACGCGTGAGAGTTATTCATTTCTGCTTCTCCGAACGACCGCTCTCGGGTTCCCGATCGTAAATTCCAAAGGTTCGCCATTACGGCGATAAAGAATAATCGATATTTCCCGAAGTCGATGAGCGTGTAAGCAAACCTATTGGATTTCGGTTTCCAGTCACGGCGACGCGACGGTTTACGCCAAGACGCGGAGGTCGAGAACCTTCATCCTCAAACCGGATACGGGCTGCCAAGGACGCGGTATTTATCTAACGAAACATTTAAAGGACATCAAACCGAGCGAGCGTTTGATCTGTCAAGTGTACATCGCAAGGGTATGAAATATCAATGTTTTCCTGCAAAAAAGAAATGGAAGTTTGCATGCAGAAACCGACCAGTTCTTTTTCTAAATGAGAAAAATTTTTCTTTGCATGTTTCTCTTTCCTTTACATGGAGATTCTTTTGAAATTCGCAATCAAAATAAACTTCACAGTTGCGGTGCAAAGCAAGTATAATGCATACAGTCCTTTTTCTTACTACGTCCCTATAGCCCTTCTTAATAGACGGATACAAATTTGATCTACGTATTTACGCACTAATTACGTCATGCGATCCTCTCAGGATCTATGTATACAATGAAGGGCTCGCGAGGTAAGACATGCATCATTAGATTAAAAAATAAATTTCGAGAAATAAATATTATAAGATACATATTCCATTAAATATTTTTTAAATTATTAAAAAACATGAATACATTTATTTTTCGAAATTTTATATGTTCCGACGTACAATATGTGAAACGTTGCGTTTTCAGGTTTGCTACGAGCAAGTACAAGGAACCGACCGGTTACAATATTTCAAACATGTTCATGCACTTGACGAATTACTCCGTTAACAAGTACAGCCGAATGTACATTATCGATGACGAGATTGGTAGCAAAAGGTTCGTATATATATCGGATACAGAATTAACAATAAGACCAAGTTGATAGCAAAGTATTCTTTACAGAAAAATATCAACGTTGAACAAATGGTTAAAAGTGAGAGATGTCGATGTGGACGAATTGTGGAGCAAGATCGACGAGATTATAATTAAAACCGTGATCGCCGCGTATCCCGTGTTGAAACACAGTTATCACGCGTGTTTCTCGATGCACAATAAGACTTGCGCGTGCTTCGAGCTGTTGGGATTCGACATTTTGCTCGATTGGAAGCTCAAGCCTTACCTACTCGAGGTAAGCCCATGGGAGAATGAACGTGTAAAAGGAACGTTATTAAATATCCTCTACATTTAGTAAATCTATCAGGTAAATCACTCGCCAAGCTTTCATACAGATGCACAAATAGATAAAGACGTGAAAGAAGGATTGCTGATGGACACCTTTGATATATTAAATCTACAACGATATGATAAGAAGAAAATAATAGAAGAGGACAGGAAGCGAATCAGAGAGCGACTTCTGCAAGGCTTAAACGGGAAGGATATTAGGCAAGTGGGAGTATATCAGAGAACATAATTTATATACAGATAATTGATCTTCACTGCATTAGTCTTACGGTAACTAATTTCGATCAATACCGTGCAAAACTCATTGGTAAAAAACAATTACAGATACTTTTTACAGTTATTAAAATATGTGATGCTAAAATTAAATCCAGATTTAAGTAATATGCTGAAATATCTGTCGAGGGTGTCTTATTCTATAAACAAATAATTTATTAACATAGAATTTTGATAATTTGTTATAGCAAAAATCTGATAATAAATCAAAATGTTACAACACGCAGTCAAATTAACGACACGGCAGCTTTAATGAGATCGGAGAGGAACGAGAACGATTACATGCAGAGGCAATTTCAGTGGGAGGACGACCACATGGGCAATTTCCGAAGAATTTATCCGTGCTTCGACAAGGATAAATACCAGCCTTTTTTCACGCAGAATGCCCTTTCCGTTTTTCAAGATACAGTGGCATCGAGAGCGCGAGAAGAAGCGTCAAGAATAGAGAGAGAAGAGAATGAGGTAATTTTTTCTTCACATCACGATTTAACGTCCTGAAATTGACAGACAATTCTTGGAACAATTTTTCATATTAATGTCACATTAAAATTATTGCCAATATAATTCTCATATCAAACGAAATGCGATATTTTTTATTAAATAATATGCAAATAATATAATATATTGCATATAATATAAATGCAAATAATAATAATAATTTAATATAAAATATATAATATCATAAAGCTAGAGTAATATCAATTTTCTAGTAATGTAATTGCTCATTGTTACTTTTCGGTCTGTCCATTTCCATTTTGCTTCATTTCAGCTAAAAGCTCGAGAGGAAGAACGCAAACGAATAGTCGGGAAATGGAACGAACAAAAATTAGGCCCTGAAAGTTCAAACGCACCGAAGAAATTGCAGGAAAAGAGCAAATCCGCAGGCGTGATGAGGAAAACCGTTAGTACACAAAATAGTTGGACTATTTTATTTATTCACATCTATATAAAGAAATGTCTTATTATCTCTCTGAAAGAAACTATTAGTAAAAATTAAAAAAAAAATTATTATATGATTGGAAAGTACGACGACTCGGCAGAAAAAGTTAAATGGAGAATATTAAATGAGATGGGACCTTTTCCCTTCATCTCGGAAGAAAAAGCAAGCACATTATTATCGTCGCTTTTTCGCAGATCAATAAACAGGACGCACAGGGATCTCCTACCAACGCCCTGTACTCCTTCGAGCCTGAAATCATATCGGAGTCCGAGGAGAGGGAACGAATAACGGCCCTGGCGCAGAGGGATTTTCTCATCAAGAGCTACGGCATGCTCGAGCAGATATACGTGGCGATGAAGAGAAACGGCATGTTACGACCCGCCGACGAGAGAAAGTATGGATTGTATGGCAGGCTGGGATTACAGGCGAACACGAGTCACAGCACATGCTCCTCTTCGCACAAGCCCGATAATCGTCAAAACGGTCATTTAAATGCCACGCAACCAGCCGTAGACCAATGCCTGCAATGTTCCCTCAGAAAGAATGAAGTAACTATATTTTCATCGAGACGGTTGCTTTATATATCAGAAAATCAAATCCAGATACAAATTAAATTTTACTTGACGAGTTTTTATGCTTTTTACATTTAAAACGATGAAAGCATGTTCTCTTTTTTCACTTTTTACATTTAAAACAAAGAAGAGATTGCAATTAATTTTAAATACTCGATAAATGTATAAGAAAGCTGTGCGACTTTCTTTTTTAGCACAAATTGACGAAGCACCAGCGTGAGTTCAAGAATTCGAACAAAAGTAAGTGTCGACGTAATTTCATAATTATGAGCAATATTCTGGAAATCGTCGCCCAGTTCTGTACGCGTTTAAAGTCGTTATCCCTTAATTCAGGCTTGTGGATAACGTGCAATGAGGCGATGGTCTACGTTCGTCCGAAAATACCGCAAAAACTGTGGACGGAGGAAATGAGCTCTAATAATCACATGGGACGGGTAACAAAAACACACGTTGCTAGAACACTGTCGAATACCGTGCGGCTGCACACGCTCGAGAGAAGAGAATCCTTCCATTCGGCAAAATCCAAGTAAGTTGCTTTTTCATTTTTATCTGTTATGATCTATTTTATGATTGTACAAATTAAATATTAATAATAAATAATAAATTAATAAAATATAAATTATGTATTAAGATATATTTATTACGGCAAAATTCTTTTAGAGTTGACGTTGCCACTCAGCACTAAAGACGAAATGGGCCCATATCTATTTGCGATAAGAAAAAGCAAAGAAACATATACTATATATAATATGATAAAAGAATTATTTTTTCGAAAGATATAAAAGCAGGATATAAAAAATATATAATTGACCAAAAAATTTAGACGACCATTATAAAGACAATGCAATACCGTGCTAATAACACTGCTGATAGCGAACACAAATGAAGATTAGTAACAATAAGATTCGTAATATTGGGAAATACAATTTCACATTAAATATATTGCATATATTACTATAAAATAATTCTCCTCAGCCGCGTTAGAGATACTTCATTAATTAAATTCCGATGAGAATTCTAAACGAGAAGAAACAAAATAAAATGTCATTCTATATCTGGGAATCCAATAAACCTCGGGACGCGTCTTGGTGAGCGGATGCTGTTTCAAGGTAGAGAACAGTAATATAAAAATCAACAATGTATCGACTTGTTATTTAAAGTGCCATATAAATATGTACAATAGATATATAAGTGAACATGTACACGTCGCATAAGAGTGGGAATTAGGTACGCGCTGCGTATGTAAAATGGTCATACACACATACGTAGACGCCAGTCTATAATATGTATAACAATTTTTATTGCTGATATATATTCTGTATTCACATGATAAAAAATAATCTATGAACAATTTGTCGCGTGCTGGTTTCTTTTTTTTGCCCCGTTCGTGATATCGCGTCCACGTCGTTCTGTCGCAGCGTCTCACCGTCGCTCTCTTCAGCTCTTGTCCGCCTGTTTTCCTTTCTTTCTCGTCCATTACTCTTATCGCGTTTTTCGTGTCGCTATCGGCAAACCGAGCTTGTGGTGGACGCGTGTTTCGAGAGTATTACGACATAATCGAAAATTCCAAGTTCTTTCAAAGTTCCGAAGTCGGGATAACAATAATCCGCAATTTTATACAAAATAATACCATGTGCCATGTGTGTGTTCATGTGTTTGTGATATTGTGTGTAAAGCGGTGCGCCGAATTGACAACGACAAGAATGTGTGCGTTGCTCTCTTAAATTTCTAAATCGCGGTCGAACTTTCTAAGGTTACAATTTTCCTTTTTCCATAAAACGTGCCTGCTCTCGACTATAAAAACGTAACTGCATCAAATAATAGCGACACTTCGCAGAAATCCACGCACGTAGGCGATGTAACGTCTCAGCCCCCTCGACTGTAAACTGCGCTATGTTACGTCATTGTAAGAACAAGAATTAGTGCGAAATACATCCAACACATTACGATCGATGAATCTGTTTTTTTTTTTAACGTGATATATATTATTTACATAAAACCACTGTACGACTGCGGCGAATATTTGCGCATTTCTCTCTCTCTCACTTGATTCCCACCATATTAAATCTTAGATATAGAAAGGCTTATGTACATAAAGTCAATAGATATTTATACGATAGCCTATATTATACCGCTTATAAAAAGAAAAGACCGTAAATGTGTGTATATTCGCATGCGAAATATTTCCATCTCCGTTAAAAAGAAATCGTCATATGTTTCGGCATATATACATACTTCCTGAAAATAAAGGTAACTGCATTTGAAGAGAGTACAATGAAACAAACAGTTGGACACATATAAAATGCATTTGTTTCGAACAAATTTTTTACAATAGGGGGTTAAGCTACCGTCGTAAAACACATATTCAAATCATTACTGGCAAACGAAGAAAGGAATTATTACGCGACATGTAGTCGAGATGGATACTTCGTGTCACGAATTAACGTGTAATCGTCTTTAAAATAACAAAATCACTTATGGCTTAATTCTGTGAAAGATAAACATTTATCTTTAGTCACTTAAATTACGGCTCATTTTTTTGTACTAGAAAATGATTACATCCGCTGCATCGGCCATTGATAATGTTATCCGTGTGAGTCTTTGTAAATCGCTTAATCCCCTGTATTTTTTTTAACTTTCGCAATAAAAGCAATTTTAACAGGTTTTAGCGTCACCTTCCTATTCGCATGAGAAAACATAGAAAGAAGATATGTGAAAATGGTAATCCTATTCGTTGTAATACTAAAATATGAGCATTATGTAGGATCCTGTGTATGTTACTCACATGTAATATGTGTTAAAAACGATTATAGTAAAACAAAGCTTAACGCATGAATTATACGGAGACTTTGAGTAAAAAGTTATTTAATTTTAGATTAAGAAATTGGCATACAAAAATCATTTCTTGATCCAAAATTAAATTCGTCAATTTTATATTCAGAGTTAAATTAGCGAGTTTATAGTCGAGGTACAATAGACGCTAATTATTTTTAATAAAGATTTCCGTTGTTCGTCAAATCAGATCTCCGTTTAATACAGGCATTAAATGATATATATATATGTATATATATATCTGGCTAATATTTCATATACATATAAAAAACTATACAATCCGTAGACGATAATTTTGTATTAGCTGCCGACGGAATTTAGTTTTCTTGCTTTAACAGTTAATCTCCTGACAATATTCCCGACGCACAATTCTTCTTTTTTAATATTCATATCGTCGATACTGTAAACCTGGCAGATGCGAAGATTATGCTAGCTAGTTAAAATTGTTAAGTGTGCACAGATTCCTTTATCATGAAGTTGAGAGATATTACTTGTTCTATCTCGAAATTTTAGATCTGTTGTACATTAATTTATCTAAGTAAATAGATATAATATAGGCGCTTTGAAACACCCAATGTATCTACCAAACAATGAAATAACTGTGCGGAGCATCTCATTAATCCAACAACGTATACACTACGGTATGCCTTTATGTCACTTTGTGTACAACAGCCTTTATGTGTACTGCTCAAATTCGCTACATATTATCTTTTGTAGATAAACGGCAAATTAAAAAGGCAAATACTAGCAAAAGACTAATTTGCGGTACAATTCCGAAAATGTTACGATTTTAATCAGTTTTTAATTAACAATTTTATTTTGCACTTCAGCTCTCCCTAAATGTTAGAGGCTTATGCCGATTCTACTTTCTATCGAATTTCTATTGGGTTATAAAATCTTCTGTTAAGGCCATCGCACACAAAATGCATAGCTTAGCATAAGCGTAGCATAAGACCGCTAAACCAATGTACATCCATAATGTCACCATATTAATTTACATAAGATGCTCATTGGTCCAGCGGTCTTATGCTATGCTTATGCAGCCTATGCAATTTTGTGTGCGACGACCTTTATAGTAGAAAAACCTGCATGTTAATATCAGTCAAATAAATTCCTGCTGTGTGCGCAAGCAATCTCATTAAAGATTACTTCATAAATAAAACATTTCCATAAAAACTTTTTTACACAACTTTAGAGATATATTTCTTATATCCTAATTTAACCGCGCAGTTAAATTAAGAGTTTAAAACCATGGCAACAATATTGTATAATCAATCAAATTATGATTAACATAAAAAAAAAACAATTATTTTAAAGACTGAACTTAACATTCAGTTTGCTTATTGCAAATTCGATTATAGTGGCGCAGATTACAAAAGCCTGTTGTACATTAATTCACCTAAATGTAAAAACATAAATTTTTGATAAAATTATCTTGGATTCATAAAATATCCAACATATTTTATCAAACATAATTCATATACATGTTTTTACGTCATTTATGTACAACAGCCTTTAAATATGTGTTATTACGCACATTCAACCAAATTTGCTACTCGATTTTTTCAAAAAATAAAAAGCCAATTTACTTTTCTCGTTACTTACGAAAAAATTTCAGCCACATGACTTGCTATTCTACTTTTATCTTCTATTTTATTTAAAAACAAGAAATATTTAATTAAAAAAAAGTTTCTTTGCTTTCGGCTCGATTTAGAGAAAAGTCAAAGTAATAAAATAAACTAAAGATATTAAAGTAAAATTTACCATGGTCTTCTTTAGACTAAAAAAAATATATATATATGACATATAAAAATATAAGAATTGCAGCACTTTTAGGTATATCGCCTGGGAGTACCAATACTGCATTTGAGTTTGCATAATTCCGTTTCTTGAATGAAATTAGCTAATTCCATTCATGCTGATTGTATTAAGTCATATACTTAAATTTAATAAAACATGTAGCTTTAACAATAAAAATAGGACTTACGACAAGCTCTTATGTCAATCTTCAATCAATCAGTATAATTTGTATCACAATAAATATATCATCTGCATGATAAAGGCGATATATTCGTTACTTGCAATAAACCAAAAATAATTTAAGTAATATATGACCTGTTTTGTACATATGATCTCAATATGATTTTAATATTAATGCTCATATCTTCCCAAAAATATTGAAAAAAATCACAATTGATGCTCGATGACTCTGATGACAAATGGTACTCGTACAAATCAATTGGTTAAATTAACACTATAAACCACGTTTAAATATCAATTGTGTAGATGATAACATTTATTATGATGTTTATCTCAGGAACGTTTATGTAGGATAAAACAAAGACGATGCAAAATTGTTCGCGGCTCGTCTCTAATATACATCTTACGTTTGCTTTGCTAATAATACCGAAAATATGTACGTACAATTAATTTTGAATTAAATGCAATTAGTCGTAAAAATACTAAGTCCTTCGAGAATGTTAAATATTTTGTCATTTATAAATTTAATAATTTTCTTTTCTATCTTCTTTTCAACGTCTTGGACCATAAATTCTCTTAAAATATTTTATATGTTAATTTTTCAAGTAAAATCTGTTTCATTATTTGACAAAATTCAGTATTAAATTATATTAATTTAATAATTTTGTGTATGAATCCATTTGTCATGATCAGACTTGAAATTAAAGTGACATCTGAATGTTACTTCTCTGGTTTCATATTCATCAGTACAACTTACAATGATACCCTAATATTTCAACAAGTTAAAGCTAAGTTATTAACAAACAGCATATTTTTATATTAAATGCACGACTTCGCACGTGCATTAATATATATCATGTGCTAAAGTGTGTCTGTGTTGTGTGTGCACAATTGCACGCGCATATATGCGTGTACCACATATAAAGGCTAACAAATAGTCACTGGAGCGTCGCATGAACGACGGGACACGAAGTGTTATGGTTTAAACTTAACCAGGGGTATGTTCTTCGATTGCAAACACTTATCACACACCCATTCCGCGTAGACTTCTGCCGTTAATAATTGATAAGCGTATTCCGACAATCCTGTGCAGCTCCTGAAATAATCGCGTTGTCAAAACGCACGCGTTTTACATTATCTTTCTACATCGTCATTTTAATGACTCACTCACTCACCTATGAAACCAAAAATTACAACCTGATTCGCACAGAATTGCCTGATCATTGTCGTGTACTTCTTTATGACAAATTCCACAGGGATAAATCGGTGGCGCATTAGGGTTTTGTGGATTGAATACCATTGATTGATCTGGAGGATATATCTGCAAAAAGTGAACATAAACACCGATTAATCACTAATAAATTTATACAATTCACAACGCTGCTAAACACAGTCATTATTAATGAATTATATTGATTGCAAGTAACATAATATACATAAAAGGATAGCTTACTTTGCCCGCAGAAATTGGCATTGGCTTTGGACCCATTCCTGGCGGACCTTGAAACCCGTGTGGTGGCATAGATCCTCCCATGGAATTGATAGGATGTCCCATGGGTGGTCCACCACCCATATTATTGGACATTGTGCCCATTGGACCTGCCATATGACTTCCCATTTGATTGTGATGACTAATGTTCATATTGGACATACTGCTCATTCCCGGGCCACCCATATTCATGTTGTTTATCTGATTTGGCCCAGTCATGTTCATGTTGTTCGATACCATCGAACTCATAGTAGTCATAGGTCCATTCATAGGTCTTCCTAAGTTGTTAAGATTATTTCCCATATGATTCGGATGAGGTTGAGATCCATTATGCCCTAGTGGACTGTTTACATTGTTTAATGACGGTCCATTTAATGGACTGTTGGGCGGTATATGGCTATTTATGTTGTTCATGTTCATTGGTCCATTAGGCATATGATTAGATCCACCTATATTCATTGGAGAACCTAAAGGTCCACCCATAGGGCTACCCATATTGTGGCCCATGTTATTCATTGGGCTACCCATAGGCCCACTATTCATATTATTCATCGGGCTACCCATGGGTGGACCACTTAGTTGCGAATTTCCCATATGACTCATATTCATGTGATTGTTCATGGTGTTCATTGGACCAGGAGGCATGTTCGGGCCCATGTTATTCATGGGGCTCATGCCTCCAATAGGAGCGTGATTCATAGGAGACATAGCCCCCATGTGATTCATGTGATTTGTCATGGGCGAATTACCCATAGGGCTCATGTTTCCCATGTTATGCGGCATCATAGGACTCATGCCACCTATCGTAGTTAAAGGGCTCATACCTCGCATAGGAGGGCCACCCATATGATGTGGATGATGAGGATGCATATGTGAAGGCGCACCATGCATCATTGGGCTTTGCGTTGTTTGTGGCGGCGTGTCGTCGAAAGGGTTACTTGCTACTATTGTGTCACCGTAACCAGTTAAGGGCGGGGGTAGTAGGTCCTGTTGAATAAATTTTAAAATTAATATTAAAACAATAATTTATATTGCGCTGATATACTGTAATACATAGATAACAAAGTTAAGTTAAGCTACCTGTACAGATGGAGGTTGTTGCGGAGGTGGTTGGGCAACACTTGCATTCGTACGCCTTTTCTTTTTAGGATTAGCACCAGCTGGTGGTGGCGGTGGTGGATGGGGGTGAGGCGAAGAGTCAGGATGTGGGGCGTTGGGGCCCATATTCACACCCATTCCCATACCCCCCAATGGCATCCTCGTGAAGGGTGGCATGCCCGCAATATTGTGGCTCATTTCCTTCGCTTCCCTTATTTTATCATGCCAGCACCACTGGATTTTCGTGGCAAGTAACTATTTTTGATCCACTGTTAACAAATAAGCAAATAGAAACCTTGTAATATAACTTAAATTATATATATATTATTTGATATATATAATTCAATAATTAATTCTATAAGTATCCGTATTATGATATACATATATAAATATTTGGCTAATCGATATTTGTAATACATTCCGTGAGCGGGCAAATATTTGTCGTAATGTAAATATGTTATGTTTTACATCATTAAAAGGTTAAATGAAGTCAAAGCTTAACTAAATAAACCAAATTTATGTTTAACGCTTACAAATATGTCATTAGACTCGTGAAAATGTCAACAAATTATTAAACGGCGATACGAGTCAGGCGCGGTACGTGGTGCGCAAGTAAAGAAATTAATAATTACAGAAGTAACGAATTACAATGTATATTATATACATATACATATATTCCAACTTGATAAACTGCGCGCCGATTATTTGTCGGACTTGAAACACAGCTATCGTTGGAACATTAATACCCTTCCCTCCCCGGAATTAAATGGACGCGACTTAATTATTTAAAAAAACTGTAAACAATTTATTGCGAAAAATATTTCATGTTTAATATGACGTAATGTAATCATATTTATTACTTCTGATTGTTACAGATAAAAATACTAACTCTTTCTTCATATATGAACATATATGAACATATATGTTCTGGGTCTGTATATAAAGATCTCTTTATGCATTCATGTACAAAGATTATAGTTTAAAGATCATATGTATAATTAATAAAGCATTTACATATTAATTTAAAAATTATTAAAATATTCATATTTTCTTCACTATAGCTATCTTCTCCGTTATGGCTGCTCACAGAGAACAAATATCTTTATCTTCCATCTGAATAGCATCACGTAAACATCTCTCACAAACTCATTAACAATTACATCGCGGTGAGATGCAAAGCACAATTAAAGACTCTAATCAGTTATTTGTAATATTATACCAATTGAGAAATTTCTTTAACGAGTCACCGATCGGACTGGCGGCGGGTACGGGGATACAGTCGCGGAGCGCGATAGCGAAATATCCTTATCGCATCGTTGCTCCATTAAAATTATCCTCGCGGCATGAGACTTATCATTTATAAACACACTGGTGCGCGCGAGAGCGCGCACCTACACACACGCAGGCAACACGTACACTCGCGTGCACGAAAAACCTCGGGGCTCGCGTACGCATATCTTTACATCGCGGGAACATACCGCCTATATTTACATATGCCGATATAAATAACGAAATTACTACCGTTAGCTCGGGTGGCGCGCCAGCCAGCGGTCCGACCGTTCGTCCGTCACGAACGGGACGAAAGATCGAGGAGGCGAGAGAAAGAGAGACACGCATACACACATGCACGCACGCGCACACACACACACCGAGAGCGTGTCCTGTGCGCGCGCGAGAAAGAGAGAAAGTGCGAGAAGCGGCTTCACGACACCAACCGTATCTTCGATAAGAAACCCGCGGTACAACAAAATAGCGGAGACCCCCGTCGCGCGCGGCGGCGAACGTAAAATGGAACAAAACAAACTCCGCCTCGCGATCTCTCGCAGAGAGACTAACCTAACCTAACCCACACAGCGGGGCTCACCACCGTCGAGCTTAGCAAGGCGCCTCCGCAAGTCGACTACACACACGGCTGCGAGTGCCGCGATGCGCCCGCCTGAGCGCGTATAATAACAATTTTTACCTGGCGCTCAGGCGGGCAAGGCAGGTAGAATCGCGGGCGACGCGCGACGCGCCAGGCGATTTAAAAAGCCGGCCGGGTTTTGCGAGGGGGGAGAGGGGAGGTCGCGCCGCATCGCTCGCGCGAGATCGCCGTACTCACCAACGCATTATAGCGGACGCGACGACGCAATCGTGTGCATGGCCGTTTTCTCGCCGGAGCAACACCGGCGCTATAAATCCACGCTGCGTCGAATCGCTGCCGCCGCCGATACTGTCGTTGTTATTGCTGATGTTGCTGCTTCTGCTACTGCCGCCGCCGCCGCCGCTGCTACTACTGTTGCTGTTGCTGCTGCGCTGCTACTACTGCTGCTGGTGCTGCTGCTGCTGCTGGCGCCCGCGGGACGAGCGATCTGTCTGTACGCGATTTCGATTTGCGTCTCGCGCACAACGCATCTCTCGGTGACGCGAAACAGGCTGCGCATTCACGGGCGCACGTACACGACCGCGGTGAACACAATCTCGCACTCTCGGTGTCGCGGTTCTCGGATAACGGAGCGAGGTATCGCGACACATTCGCTATACAAATCCTTTCAGGTCGCCATTGTCGCGTTACGCGTGTCCCCCCTCCGCGCACCGTGTTGTCGCCTGTGCACGAACGTGAGCCGTCGCGTTCGTCCGCTAGATGTCGACACTGGTCCAAAATATTGCTCCGACGGACTCGTGCCAAGGCCCAGCTCTTCTCCGGGATATCGGAAGCCTAATATTAGGCGCTGGAGCGGCGCCGTCTTTTTCGTAGTTCAACCCACTGACAAGGACAAAAATGTTCTAGCACTAAAACTAAAAAGGTCCAAGAAAGGGGCTGGTTCTGTAAAGGTAAAAAAAAAAATTAAAAAAAAATTAGTCCGGCTAACTCATTTTGTATCAATAATATAAAATATAAAATTATGTATTATATTGTGCCAAATAGGCATGTTCCTGTACTTTGTATTTTTCTAATAAAAAAAAAATCCGTTAGAGTCCGACAACGCATCAAAATCGTCGAATTTATTCTACATATATGTATATATATTTATACCGTGTCTCTTGATAAAAAGCATAACTGTACATAAATATGTCAAATACGCCTGTTTCTACTGGCTGTTTTTTTTTTCCCAATAAAAAAAAACAAGATTATCGGAAAGCGACGGAATCCGGCCGACAGTAAACGGCGGATTCTAGATTTCGCGATAATCTACGATCGGCTAAAAGGCTCGCCGCAGAATTCCGACGATCTCGCGCGAGCGCTAGAGGTTGTATATTTTCGTATTGACTTCGTATTGAAAGCAGTGTTTAGAATAAAAGCAAACGCGAAAGATCTATTTTGTTATACATTTTGTTTTCATAAAAATTTATTTATATCGATTTTGTATTCAAAACGTGTCCATGGCTTATAACTTTCCTGAAAGAGTGAGCTTTTGCCCTCCCCCCTTTGCTTTTTATTATAGAATATTAGACATGTAAATGGAATGTAAAAGAAGATCCTACTTCAGGAACTTAAGCTATATATTAGAATCTATATTAATTTTTAACATAAAATACTGCTTCATAAGACTGATCAAACTCGCGAATTAATATAAAATACGGTAGAGCCTGAGAATTCAGGCTTTAAACAATAAGTTCTGCACGAGGCAATGTTTATTCGCGTTACGCGTGGCACGCATGGGGTTTGTTTTCTATTGCTGCACTAGCTCAGAGTTTATCTTTTTCTTTCCAATGAGGAGTCGACGCAGGTGCGTGAAATTCACGTAAAATGACATTGCACGGTAGCCGCTAGGCCCCATCCGCGTCCGAGCTTAAAACTGTCTCGCGACCCCGGCTAAAGTGCTCGCACGCACCGCTTTAATTATTTCAGTTACATCAGAATGAATTAACCCGGCTTAACAACCGGAAAACAGTTCTCATAAGTGTCTACTTGGGACAGTTGACCGTAGTGCCTAGCCTACACCTATCTACCCTACCTGCCTGCTTACACAGGGCACACACGGTTCCCGGAGAACCGTGGTCATCACCACCGCCGCGTCGTCTTTATCTCTTCGCTCTCTTATTTTAACACTGACACGAGATTGCCGCAATTACCGGACACGCGCGCCAGATCGGTCGAAACGATTGTCTCCGAAAGGAAGGCAATGTTGAAAGTATACTTAAAAGAAAATGGGGAAAAGCATAGAGTCGAGATACCAGGCGAGATATCTACTATTATTTTTAGGGGAGATAAAGCTTCATCGACGATTTTAGGAAAGAATCTCTGTATTCTTATTTTTACATTATTAAGCGAAGTATTACGCAAAATTAGTAAGAATCTTATAACTGTTTTTTTTTTAATTATATTGTCTCGCGTTTTTGTGTATCTCTCGCGTAATTACATGTCTATACGTATAGACGAGGTGACGTTTCGCGATAGCGTGCATTATTTCGCATGGCGAAAGAGAAAATCCCTGATATAGACCAGCTGTCCATCTGTTGCCCAAACCGACAGACGAAATTAATACGATCGGCCATTTTCCCGGAGCCGATATGAAAAAGCGGGGATGCCATCCCGCCCCCCTTTCCACTCGTTATCCGCTCACGTTAACGGCTCTATCGATCTCATTAACTGCCTGGGCACTCGCAATTTATTTTTATCGAAGGATATGGAGTATATATCCCGGCGTCGCGCCGTTTTCGTCCGGGCAAAAGTGGTACAAATCGGGAGCGTCGCGAACGGGGCGGAAAAACTGGGCCAATCCCCCGGAGGGGAAGAAGCTGGGATGGGGGTATCCCCAGGGGGATCTCGACGGGATACGAGGACAGAGTATGACAAAAGACGTGAGGACGAGGGAAGGATTTAATAAATTTCTCCGTAGGAGTCCACTAAGTGGGGTAAATCATACGGTTATTGGCCACTTAGGAGATATCTCTTTGTTTTTCTTGTTGTGCAATTATCGAATGTCGATAACGGCGTCCCCTGTTCCCGTGTAACCCGCGATTATTACGTTTCATTATTAATATCTGTTATTTAAAAAAACGGGAGACACAAGTCTGCAATCCGCTCGCGAGCTTCAGATTAAAAGTAACGCGAACATAAGATCGTTCAAATCTCGAATTATTGCACCGGCGGTCTCTCTGGAAATCTAGAAACGTTTCTTAAATTTATTTCTTTAGTACTTAAATATGACTTCCATTTTTTTCTTAATATCTGCATATTAAGTAGAAACGTCTGAAAGGAGGTCAACTCGTGAAAATTTATTTTGCTTCTTTTGGAAACTGCTTTACTTATACATACATGGAAGAACTCTCTTTTCACAGGCAATTTGACAATATATCTCAAGATTCTTCCTCGTCGTATCTTCACGACGAAGAATCCTTTTCAATCAGTTAAAAAAAAAAGAAGTCAAATAAGAGGAGAGATATTCTGTGTAAAAAAAGCTCTCAATAACTCGTCGAAGGCAATAACCGCCACTCAAAACAAAACGTGTTCCCTGTGTAATAAAAAAAGCGTCGAAACTGTGATTCTATTTATTTAACAGTATCAATACCGTGTCCTAAAAAAAAGAAAGGGTCGGAAAGGAATCACAATCGAATCGGGCCTAACGGGGATGGCGGAGGGTTACAATCGGTGGATCGCTCGTTGTGGCAATCGACCATCTACGCGGACGGATTCCGCAAATAGCGACATCGCCCAAACAAAAACGACGCGCCAATCAATCTGTCACGTGGCGCGCTGCATGGCCTGAATAAGAAGCGAGTGATTTGCGCAAATTACACGAAGACGGTGGTTTACTCAGCAGGCCTCAAAAAGCGATGGCGGTGGCGCGCGGCACACCTGTCGATAATCCCGATAACTTTTTCTCGAGAAGCTCATTACGACACCCGTTTATAATCGCGGATCTGGCGCGACTGATGAATTTTCGATGTCTTTTTACCGAGGGAAAGTCGAGTTTAGACCGGCTGAAGACGCTATCATTAAAGAATAATGTATATATAACAGAAGCGAAGTATCTCTACGGTTATAAATAATTTATAAGCAGTTCTCTCTCTCTCTCCGTTCTCCCTGTTTTAACATTCTCACTTGTCGATTAAAAATATAAAGTTTAACTATCAAACACCACACTTTAAAACTCAATACCGAGCACCAGCTTCAATCGTCTACTACCATTTTCCTCTTATTTTCTCACTTCGGACTCTTTGCTCGTAGGAATTTTTGGAAGGAATTCAGGCAAACGTTTTTCCTTTTCAGAATAAAAAGTAATCGTTAAAACATTTGCTCGCTACACAAAAGGACTGAATGGGTTGACCCTTCGTAAAAAAACGTTAAAATTTTATTGCATTTTCCGAAAATACATCGGAACTCGAGTACTACGCGATATTTTAGTATGTTTCTCAAATGTTCATACACATCCTTCTGTTACATTTCTGTTACGCGCGTACACGTACATACAATCACGCCGGTTTATTACCGCTGGAACACATTTTTCCGTCGCATCCGAACGAACGCGCCGATTGCATCGCCGACGACCGAGTCGTCGAGAAACGATCCTTGACCCGTCGTTCAAGGATGCTTCAACATTCCCCGGTGTCCCTTATAAAGAATTTAACTCGAGCGATTCTTCTACAGCGGTGCGGAACGTATCCCCGAGTCACTTTACGCTCGGCGGATCGTTAATACGCCTCGCGAGAAAATGTAGCGCCATTGAAGAGATTCAAGAAAGTCCGTTGCAGTTTTCGCTGCTCGAATGCCATTCAATTGATATCGACGAGGCAGCCCATTTCTTTGTGATTCCTATCCTTTCCGTTTTCAGAGCCCGATAATAGGACGATTAATTCTACTCTCTTCGTCTCTTCGAAACGATCGTTATTATCGGAGAAATATATCGCGTCGATAGAATAGAAACGTATTAGGAAGGAAATTCCGGCTCGGGTCGGTTTGATTGTTCAGGGTTGTCTCCGGTGGACGCTTTGAATATCGAAGCAACACGTTAAGCGATACATATAGCTACCGATCGTGCAACTTGTATACAATCGCAGTTATACAAAGGTGGGAGGAAAAGGAAAGAGGACGATGATTGATAATTTAATTTATTGGAAAGGAATGCCGCGCAAATGCTGATGGCAGACTGCAAACTGCCACAGCCGCCGGGTTACTGATTGTGAGTTACGAAGAAGGGTCGAACGCTTATATACACGAATTTAAAATTTATTAACACTGCGCGCCGTGATAGCTATCAGTTATTTTTCCAATAACTATCGGTTGTAGTCAACTTGCATGACGTTGCGCAATGTTTTCCGGTGTGCGCGCAGCTACGTATCGACGAAAACTTCAATAAAGACCGAACTTTTGCTTTTATTGTTTTCGTGTATTGACCGAATCCTCAATATGAATCCTCGATATTCGCACAATACGAATTATTACACAATAATATTGACCGTACTGAGTTTCGCGCTTCGACTGAAAATATCGCTCGAATGGAAATACATTTCTTTGCACCCCGGCAAAAAAAGTTGAACTTCGATTCGCGACGTTTCATAAAAACTTCGTAAAAACTGCGGTCCAGTTCCTCCGAACTCGAGAGAGAGAACGACG